ACATACTCCTGGATTTTTTACCAGCTGACTCCTTCTCCATCACACGGATCCGGGTTTCCTGTAGAAACGACACAAACAACTTTCAATATGTGAAATTTTCTACCGCAGAATACAAATGAGGGCTACATGTGAGACATTGCAGAACAAAGTACATCGCTGATACTGCAGAAAAAACACTAAGTCAGCAGCAAAATGCCGAAGATGCAAGAAGGATCTCAGTGAGTATAGTGTCAGTTTATTATTTGGTTCTTCAAATCTTAAAATAAACTCTGAGCTAAGATTTCAATCAGTTTTTATTCAATACAAATTTAAACAGAGAAATAGTTTTTTCTGGTGTCAACATCTTCCTTTCCTGCCTTTATGTTTATTTTTTCTAAAAGCTAAGAACAGAAATGTATGTTTAACCTCTTCCAGTACTGAACAAATTCTTGTGTGTATGTGGTGTCCTTTAGTTGCTTCTGTGTTGATGCATTAGCAGAAGAATAGAGCAGGAAATATGAGTGTTGAATGTGAAAGTCTCACCCTATTGATGGGTATGTTGAGCGTGGGATGAACTTTAGCGTCAATTTCCTCTGGGGTGAAGTAGCAGGACAAACAACCAGCACTCAGGACGCAGTACAGACTGCAGCAGCGGTTCATTCCCCCCACACTTTGCTGGAAATTGTAGGGAAAGAAGGATTAGAACATAAGTATTTTACCTTGGAACCAGCTTTGGAGCCAATGATAACAGCAGTTGAAGCACCTTCTGACTCAGGTAGCCGTTCATCATGATCTCTGTCATACAGGTAGGCTGGGCCACCAACCGGCAGCAGAGGTTGCCGTACAGTGGGAGCCAAGATGACCACTCAGCTGCAATAAAACCCAAACATATAGAAATCAGCATAAATTAACATATACTTAAAAACAATGATAACATGGTGAGAGGATAAATCCAGATCTCTTTTTCCCATTATAAAAAGGTTTACATTTAAATGTCAAATACCCACAGTAGCAATGAGAGAACATCCTGTGACATGTGGAGTTAGCAAGAATAATGATTTTTAATTCTGTAGACCTGATCACCGATGATTCCCTGTTCATACCTCTGAAATTAGTACTGAATAAAAATGAGCAACTGTCTTATCCCTTTAATCACTCATGCAAAAGTAATCCAGGCTCAACTTCAATTATAACATATTTTGTTTAATTTAGCTTTCCATTTTAAAGGTGTGAAAATATTGTATTATTACCCCAGAGTTCAATTGAACCAGTAGCTAAAAAGCATAATCCCTTTAAATCCCCACATATTAAATTTCTACGCCTTTGTCTCTTACCGTCTTGGAGGACAATGAGGGAGTGAGACTGGAAGCTGCCTTCAGCCTCAGGCAGACGCAGAGTGGTGTAGGCCAGCAGACTGTACTTGGCTCCACTGGTACAGGTAGACACAAACACAAAGGAAGACATTCTTTCAAGTTTACTGCATTGACTTCTTGTCATCTCGCGGCTTCCCAGGCTTAAACATAAAATATTAACGCTCAACTCGAATGTTAACAATGAAATAATAAAGATACACTGATAGTCAAACCTCAACGTGTGCATATACAGCTTTTTGATCTTTATAAATCCTCTTCCCTTTCAAATACCTATTGAATCCAATGTTTTCCTCCCACAGAACAGGTTGGCATGTGTCACATTTTTCACAGAGGAGTTTCACTTGATTTTCTAAATGAAGCATGATTTTTCTCTATGACACAAATAAAACACAGCTAGAAGCATTCCCCCTGAAATTAAAACTGTTGCTTAATTATTGTGAAACCCTGACTTCACTCCTCACCCAATGACATTTATTTACCAACCTGTTAAGTGAGTCTGCAGCACCCTTTACTCCAGTAACAAGTCAGAATCAAATTAGTTCCAAACTAAACAGAGAGAGTTTTATGAGATAAGAGAATACTCACGAGGGGATGGGGTTATACTGCAGGAAGGTATCAGGGTCTGGAGACTCCAGCAGGGGGCAGAGCTTCTTCCCAGCAGTTTTTCCAAAGGAGTTACGGAGCTTCTTGGCAAACTTCTTTGGCGTGTTCGCCATCGTGAGCTCTTCCTCCAGGGCGCAGCTCCACAGCTCTACCTTCAGCTCAAACTGAGGAACTGCTTCTTTACTGTGGAGAGAGCAAAGACACATTTTAGTTTCAGCAAATAGGATAAACATCAAAATCTACATGAAACATATTAGATTAATAAATAAACAGGAATAAAGATGCATAAACAACACATTGATTGCATTGAAAAAGGTGATCAGTGACATCACTAACAATAGATGAGTCCGTATTTGAAGGAACAAAACAAATATATATTACTAAATGAAAAACTCTAATTTCAATATAAGATTCACAAATTATTAGTATAAGGCTACAATATAGATGTTTTTTCACCTCTGGCTTCACAAAAGTAATTCTTTGACAAAATGACTTACAAGATGGTGACTCCCTCAAAGCAGATGTCAGTGACTGATCTGTCCACCACCACCATGTCTGTGTCAAACACCTCAGAGCCGATCTGCATCAGACAGAACAGCGCCACTCGACGGGAGCCTGGGGAGGGTGCACAGTACATGCTAGAACAGCAGCTGTCCACAAAATAACACAAGGCAAAGTAAAACAAAAGGCATGATCGGAAACAAGGAGTACAAACTTACTCCCTCTGTTGTTAAAGTGATGTGAATCGCTCCACATTAGGGGAATACGCAGCCCTACATCAGGAAAGAGGAGGAGAACATTTTATCCGCAAAGCAACACAATATAAACTTCATGTGTATAATGCTATATCCATTTTGTGAAAATAAAACACAGATTAAGGGGTAGCAATCATACCAGACAATGCAATTGTTCCACTACAGGGCACACGGTCATCTGAAACTGGGTCCGAAAGTCTGAAAGAAAAAAAATGACTTCCTCATTATAATTGTTTTGAATCTGTGTATCAATAATATACTGACTTCACTGCAACAAAACTAAACTTCAACTTTAAAACTGCTTTAAAATCTCAAATCCACTGTCGAGTTAATGCTTAATTTTTTATTTCTGTTTTGCTTTATTCTTCAATGTTTCTTAATCCAAGTTGATTTATAATATATCACAGTCTTATCTGAGTGAAAGAAGAAAGGCAGATACAACCAAGTAAATAGAACTTAGAAACTTAATAAAATAAAATGTAAACATGGTCATCCAACTAATGAGTCAGTCAGGCTCTAGTAAGCACCCAGGTCCTTACCCCCTGACTGCTCCCATCATGTCTTGCTCCTCTTTTTTCTTCTGCAGCTGAGTGAAATAAGCCTTGATCCTGGTGTTGCAGGTCAGTAGGTTCTTGGAGGCGTTAAGAACCTGCTCTCTCTTGCTGCAGGCTAGCAGCAGCTTATAGGCCCCTTCACGCATTCGCACCTCAAAGTCCAGCTTTTCTTGTAAGTTATTGTTCTTCGTGGAGATAAATTACAGAGAAGAAATTTCAAAATTAAATGAAAATTGATTTAGATCTGCAGCTTCCTATGATGTTTTGAACTGTCAGAGAATATGCAATAACAGAAGGGGATGAGATGGACATGATGAGGGCAAAAATGAACATATTGATTTTGCTGAAATGGAGTTGGGGTTAGAGAAGTTGCCCTCAGAGTTTTCTTTTGGTATCATCAGGTGTTATATCACTTTGTCACGTCAACAAATAATGCACACAAAATGGTATTTTGCATAAAATATAACAAATAATGATTTCATCATTTGCCAGTGACTTTTCTACAAATCAATTTGATCAATTGTTGCAGCTCTGGGTGGATGTTTGAAAATGTGAGGCCTGTGAAGAAAACTTATTTTCATTATTCAAGAGCAACTCTTTGTATGAGCGTGAGAAGAAATTATGAATGCAGAAGGGGGTCGGGTGGTTTGATATTGACCAACTAATATTTTGAATGCACTTTAAATGACCAAAAACTATAAAATCTAATGTTATTCATAATAAATTACAGAAAATACAGAATACAAATGACTGAATGGCATGCTGCAAAGAATGAGTCGGCGGTTGCAAAACTAAAATGTGTCAGGGCAGCTCGAACTAACAATTTGTGGTTTAAATGGAGAATGATGATGTTGAACTCAAAATATAGCCTTTCAAATTTTGGTATGAAAAATAGATTTTGGACAGTAGGGCCCCCAAATTCCATATTGATCACACAATCCCTCCCCTAGCAGCTTTTCCAATTTTATAATTATACTTACACAAATACACCAGATTCCTTCTATGTGTAAACCTGCTTTGCAATAAAAACCCGTTCTGATAAGGCTCTGCAAACGTCGTCATCCTCCATATTATAAACCATAATTTATACATGCACCTGTAACTTCTTAGGAATCTGTCGTATGTACAACACATTCCTATCCTCCACTATGTGCTTGGTGTCGTTCAGAAGACTGGGGCATCGTTTCATGCTTTTGGCCTGAAAACACATTAGTGTGAGGAGAGTTAGAGCAAAGATCAGAGTTGTAATGTCTCCACATGCTCAGAAACAATGGAGAACACAGGAAGTGGATAAAAGGGGGCAGCTCACGCCCCCTGGGGACGACTGGTGCAACTGGAAACCAGTGTGAGAGAGCTCGTGTTAGAAAACCAAAGTTCGAGACAAAAGTTAGTGTTGGTTGTTTTGAATGTGAAGAACGAGCTTCTGGCAGCTGCAGCTGTGCAGACGAGGAGGAAACGCGTGTTGGCTTGTTTTCGTTAGTTGTACTTCGGACCCTCTGGCGTCAACTGTCACCGTGATTCAAATCAAACACACACACACACACAGAGTGCCCCGCTCCTCTGGACATACCTCTGTCTGAAGGAATAAACAGCTCTGCCGTATCTTCTTGCGTTTCACCTCCATGGCCATGGCGGAACCGGCCGACAGCAGCGACTTGACGCCGCCGGTTCGTTTAGAAGTTCGAACGTCCCGCTCCGTGTCCATTTTTCCCCCCACAGCCAACAACAGCACCGCCCGCCCGGCTCCACCTCCAACCGACAGCCGGGGGCTCGATTTGAGTCACCTGATCTGCCGGAGGGGACATGTGGTCCAGAAAACTAAAAGGTGAGACCATTCAAATGAGCAACACACACTTGATGTGAATTATAACACAACTATTATGTATAATACTGTAGGAAAATCAAGTCAATCACATCATTTATGATGTTTCTGATCCCGAGTATCACGTTTATTGGTATTTAATGGACATATCCAACCTTAAAATCACAATGAAAGTCTTAGAACCAAACTGGTCGAAAGGGTTTATTAGTTAAAATGAGAAAATATAATTTAAATCGACTGTATTGAGCGTATTGTTAAAAAAACTATTCGAGACAGAAGCCCCGCCTTTCCCAGCGGCTCCTTCCAAGATACAAACCGAGCGCTTTTACGCTGACAGCGAGGATGAGCGTCATTACGTCACAGTGCCAGACAATACCTTTTTCGATTTTGAATTTTTTTTTTAAAGAGCATTCTAAAAAATGATAAATGTAAAATCAAACCTAGAAATAAAATAATAAACGTTTTTTATAATTTAATAGTGAGCAGCACATGAGTCGTTTATTTCTCCACTTTAAAGCAATGTGGGGGTTTCTCAGCCTAATGAAACTTCAGATTTCACATATCAATAACCTATAATCATTACTAATTTAGGTAATAGTATTTCTAATCTTTTACGACAGTTTAATCATTGAACCATCTAAAACTGAATAATAATAATAATAATAATAATAATAATAATAATAATAAAACAACAACAATAATAATAATAATAATAATAATAATAATAGTCTGTAATGTAGTTAATTTGGTCGTTTGTATATTTGATTGGTTCCTGGGTGCACTCATTCATTGGAGCAGCTCATCCTGCAGGAGGCACTGCGTTAGGTTCCAGTAGAAACTGTAAGAACGTATCCAGCTGCTCAGCTGATGTGGATGAGACAAACGACCCTGAAACGTGACCAGTGAGTGCAGGAAACCCGCCCACCCGGTTCCCCCTCACTGGGCTGCTATGGCTTAGCTGGAAGCGTCCTCAGCTGGAAGTGTAGACGCAGGAGCTTCTCAGGATGAAACCACGCGTAAAACCCCAAACACAGGAAGTTACGACATCTGCTTTCAAAAGTAAAAGATGGATCACATGAGATGCACACAGGCAAAACATCCATAATCCCCTGAGCTAATCTGTGCACAGTGATGTCAGCCTCTCTGCCATCTGTGCTGCATTTTCTTTGCATCTCCTTTGCATTTAGCCTTGTATTTTAGATAAGAATGACATTAACAAAAAAAGAGTGTCACTATGATGTATATAATAACTTTCTTAATAATGCCATATGCTATACACAGAAACACTGTAGCCTGATTATAATTTATTTCCATCATTAATATAAAATATTATTTATATATTCTATATATCTGTGTTATATGTTCTGTGTGTGTTGTTTGGGACTTGGGATACAATAGTTCCTCAGCTATAGAGATCATAGAGAGGGCCCTTTAAGCAAGTAAACAAAAGTTCCTTTCTTACATTTTTCAATTCTAAACTTTTACATATCCGTTATTATAAGTTAGCTCGTACTGTTCGGACAAATTGTCATTTGACAGAGTATTTATTGTTTTGAATACATTTTTATATTCTCTGCTGTGATCTTAACTTTCCAGATTCAAGCACTGGAGAAGATAAGATGTTTCAACTAATCCTGCAAACAAAACGTGGCTTCATTAAAGTCCTTTGTCCTTAATAAGAGATATAGTAGAGTCAGGGCCATAGTATGATGAGTTTCCATCTCAATCTAAAAAAACTGTGATGAAAAACTGGTTCAAGCTTTTGTTGAAGCATGATGAGAAAATAAGCTGAAATGCTTTAGTCACTTATGATTGCACTAATCACCAGACGCATGTGTTTACTTGATGATTCAGTTATTTGTGTTGACGTGACAATGGTTGTATTATTTAAAAGCCCAGGGGGGCAGATAGGCTGCATATACTACATACATATGGGCCCAAGATTATTGTAATGCACCACATCAGCCTACTTATTTACACTTAAGCTCAGGAGCTCAGGAAACCCTCCCACCCCACCCTGCATGCTGTTGTCACCACTCTGCTTTTATTTTGACAGTCACGACCGGTATCCTGTTTGTCGCCTCCGCCGCGTTGACGCTTCTCCCCGCGCGTCAGCCGCTCTGATGCGCGGTGGGAGCGGCGTGTCACTGAGCATCAGAAGCGGAGGAGGCCGCGCAGACTGAACTGCAGCAGCGGCAGAGGCAGGGCTGGGCTCCACACACACACACACACACACACACACGGGGACGGACACACACATTGAACGGCAACACACACCAGAGAAGGAAAAACGGGTAAGTGAGGAGCGGACTTTTACTTTAATCCAGAGAACAACGCGTTTAGCATGTTGCTAACGGTGAGCTCTAAGCTAGCCAGGCGTCAGACCGGGGAAGTTTACGCACGAGAGAAAAAAATGGGAAGAGTCGCCTTTTCTGCCTCCCTGCTGCACGTCTGTTACTGTCTGTGTGTTTTAATGGTGATGTAAAAAAAAAATCTCGGTAGACTGAAGAGCTTTGTGACATAAAAACATGAACAGAAATTGAGCCTTTAATAAAATAACTAGCTTTAGCAAACTGTTATGCGTATAACGGCTAAACAGCCCGGTGTGTGTTGGCTAACCAGGACGGCTACTATTGTCAGCAGCAGCATGACCAGCCTGTCTCCGCCTTTTTGGAAAGCCACACAGCCACTTTGCTGCCTTTTGTAAAAAACAAAAACAAAAACGATTGAAAATGAAAAAAAGCACCGGCAACATTAACTCTCCGTGCTGCTATTATCTGTTATTGACCCGCTATCAGTCGCATCCTCCCGCAACCGCATGGAGGAGGCTGTGGAGACAGGATGCACATCAATGACGGAGGGTCTCACTGAGCGCTTTGTGCTTCACTCACTGCAAACACACTCATCTGTGAGGCTGATTATTATTATTTTTTTTTTTTGCTGAGGAGTGGATTGCATGAGCAGGTTTTTATTTATGTGATGTGGCTGCAGTGTGTCCCGATGCTGGACCCCCTCCTCCTTCTCCACCTCCTCCTCTTCTCTGTGCAGGCTTTGTTTTCGTGGGGCAGATGTAGATGTAGCTGGCCTACATGCATCCGCTCTCTTTGTGTTGACTTTCAGTATTGCTGTCAGCAGCACATAAGATATAAAAGTTGTGTGGTTTAAATGCATGATTGTGTCTTTAATAATGATGTTTCTCATCATTCACTGGCTGGGAGATCTTTCAAGATGTCCCTGTTTTTGGGCCTTTTACTAAATCAGTGCAAAAAGTAAAGGTTATTGTTATTATCTGGTGAAAGACTGGAGTGCAAATGCTTGAAACAGATGCATGACAAATACCAAAGTTATTCAACTGCCCCTAACGCCAGAAACAAAGACTTCTATTCATAGCAGCAGCAGCAGCAGCAGCATGATTTTATTAAATTATCTTGACCTTTTCTTTAAATTGCATTTAAGGTTAACAAAGGTACCAGTACATTCCTGTTCAAGGTTTATAACACAGTTTGCTGTTCTCATACTGGCCAGATTAATTCTTGGAAAGTGCTTCAGTATACACTGCACAGTCTCCTCCTCCTCCCTCAGTTGCGAGAATTCAAATTTTTTTTGGGTTTGAGCCATAGAATGTGCGGACAAAACCATCTAGTCCAGTTTCACTCTTTTCTTTCCTTTATGCCCTCTTCATCTCTTGGACCCTGCTTCTTTCCCAACTACTTCATGTCCTCTATAAATTTGACTGGCAGCGTTCTACTTGGCTCTACAAAAAAAAACTGTGTCAGTGTCACAGGTCGCTCTGTCAGCTGCAGCTCAGCCTGCCACCTTATGTGTCCATTAACACAGTTTAAGCGCTGGCGATAGCATAGGAAACAATGTGAGTGAGTAGAAACAGTGCACACTGTTTTTATTTTGGTTAAAGTTGTCTTGTGTTGAATCTGTTTTTCTTTTGAAAACTGGAAAACTTAACATAATAGTAATTCCTTCAGTCACCAAGCTGTAAGAACTAATGGTCCCACTCAGTGTACAATATCATGAATTGACTATTAACCTATTAATGTTGAACTCAGAAAAGGGAATATCTTTCTTTGTCATCTCTTCAACTTGTGATCTCCTATCTGATACAACTTGTCCCTGATACAGTAACATAATTCCTATAACCTGGTGTTGTGTATATTGTGTATATATAAGTGTATATTTGGGATTCTGGACTTTGTTGTCTGGCCTCCCCATGGCTATTGTGTGTAGTAGGAAGTTTAGGAAGTGAGGTCATTTTACTTCAGTGGTCAGGCACTATTATTTGTGACTGAAAACAACAACCCAGCCTGAAACTTAATATCCTAATATACTGTATTCTATTAAAGCTGTCTTTAAAAGTGTTTATAGCTGTGAATCTCACTTCTGTGAGAGTAGAAATGTTAAAAGGTTTATGAGAGTCACATATATCTCTCCCTTATGAAGCTCCTGCTTGTGTGCAGTCAGAGAGAAAAACAAGGGAGGTGAAGTCTGTGATTAAATGGAAAGATGGTCAAGCAGAGCAGAAAACGAGAAAAACGGTGTAACCATCAGCTTTATTCTTGTTATGGAACATCAAGGGTGTGTCTGACTTTATTTTCTTTCAAATTAACTTCTGAAAATGAGAAATAAAACAAAATGAACCTCACATCTGTTTTGGGGTGTAACATATTCCCCTGTGAGTTTCCGGTATTTTGTGCTTCTTTCCATTGCAGATATTGATCTTGTATTTTGGCAGTTTCCATTCCTATCTCTCCTGTCTCCCCGCTGATTGTCCTGTTATGCTAACGTTGATGTTTTTTTCCCTCGTCCTAAGTGCCAGTGTGGATTTCAGGGTGAGAGTGTTCACTATTTTTGTCTGCTGCAGAGGTTATTGCTGTGGGCAGCTTAAATGTTGGTGCCATCATCAACATGGCAGGGTTGGCTAAACACTAATATTCCTGTGAAAAGAGCCACGGGTCAGTCATTATCTGCTCAGCAGGGGCCACACAGGGCCACAAGACCACTGACCAGACAGAGCATACTTTGGCTTCAGTAGGTGATTTATTCAGTCTTATTGACGACTTTAGTGAGGAGTAACTATATTAACCCAGTTAAAAATATTTTTTGTAGAAGACTAAAATTGGCCCACTGTTATAATATGTTATTTCGTGTTCCAACATTTCGATGTTGAATTTTCAGTTTAGCACTTTTATTTATACTCTGCTGCCATGTCCTGTTGAGAAAACTAGCGTACCTCTGAATATTATCTGAAAAATGTCCACCACGCTCACATGACTAAAGAATTATTCCTATACGCTGACAAAATCAATGCTGTTTCATAGTGTGGAAGGGCAGACTGTTTTTTTACTTTAATGCTTTACAGTTCTCAACATCCATGAAATCTAACTTTCCCTATGAAGGTCTATAGATCATGTGAAAACGCAAGGGTCACTGAGCATGTGGTGGGTTTATTTCTTAAGGTCATGGGTGTGCTAGGTTGTGTATGGTAATAACAATGAAGCAGGCCGGACGGATGCTGGCTAAATGGAGGTGTTTGCTTGTTTGTTCCTCTCACCAACTGCTCATGTGATGTGAGCGGCTGCTTTTCAGCACCATATGGTCTTTTCCGCTGCACGGAGCAGTTTTTTTTTCACCCACATGCTGCATGTCCCATATAAACCACATTAACACACATAAAGCCAGACATACACATACACACTCAGGTTTCTGCAGACTTGAAGTTTTATGCTGACACCATAATGATTTATTATCCCCTGCATGGTGCTATAGTCCTGTCATAAAGAGATTAATGTTGGTGTATAGTCTTTATCTGGTTGCTTAAATTATGAACTCTTTAATTGTGTCATTCAATAGCACAAATGTTCTTTTCTTAATGAAATTTTTATTAAAAATATGTAAGTTCTTTTTTTAATTTACTGGATTTAGATTTACAAAAGCATAGTGTGGAAATCATGACTCATTAAATTGTCATGAAATGTATTTTCCATTTGATACTCATTGCTATGCTGTTGTTCATGAGCAATGTTTCTAACATGTGATGGATGCAAAACTGGAAGAATACAAATATTTCGGGAGGAAAAAGAGGTGCCATGCACGTAGAAGACTGAGGCTAAGATGTCAACTTGGAAAGCAAGAGCTTTAGGCGATAACGACAACACTGATGCGGATGTAAAAACTTGTAACTTCTGCAGTGGAATCCTGAGTTATGTCCATGCTCTACCCAGAAGCCATTCGTCACCTGAATGTTTCAGAAAATGTTCTGATGTGTTGAATGCGTTAGTGTAGCATGTTTGTGAATGTGTGTTTGGGAAAGGCAGGCTTCAGGTAATGTTACATGTCTGAAAACAGCTTATGTGTATATGTCAAAACTTTCTGCATCCTTTCAGTGAGAGGAGGCTGGAGCATGCTTGGTTACGATACCCACTACATTCAGCCTTTATGATGACAAACTGAAAGTACAGACATACTTATCAAAGATATCTGTCCGCAGCCATTGTTGAGGGTTTCTCTGACAAATTACCATGATAACAGTCATTCCAGGTTTGAGTGGTTGGGCAAAGCAAACTGGTTGTTTCGAAAATACAAAGTCAAAGGAGTTCCCTTCAGCAGAATATATTTGTTCTTTGTTGGCTGAGTAGAGGTAAAGTAGGCCAACTTGATTCAAATGTCAAAAGGAATCAAACATTTTCAGACTGACATCCCTGGAGCTTGCTCCTTTGTGCACCCAGACCATTTCCAAAATACTGTATTATTAAACTGCTGTCAAACAGAAGTTACGTGATTGACTGGCAGCCCTTGATAAATTCATTTGTTGGGTAAAATAACATACAAGTGTGATATAAGCATCACAAATGCAAACAGAATCACTTTTTAGAATAGTACATCAATTGAAAAAGAATAAAACATTTAGAGCCAAAAGTGTAACAAAGAATAGCTCCTACAACCTACATAATATTGATTATCTATGCCAAGGAGGTTATCTTTCTGCCCCTGTCTGTTTCTGTGTTTGTCAGCATAAAATAAAATATTAAATGGATCATCTATGAGTGTGTGCAATTTCTAGCAGATCCAAATAAAAATCCAGATCAAGCAGATTTAAATGTGGTTTCACAAGGGGACTGTTGGGCCTTGGTGGAGATATACACTCAGCTGAGGGCCATTCTAGTTCAGCCTGTTATAAGTGTCTGGTATATCGTTACAGCAATAGATTGTATACCTCCTCTTCTCCTCTTTTATGTCTAAATCTACAGTAGAATTAACCATTGGGGACTAGACAAGCCTTTGCCTGTCTGTCCGTTTGTCTGTCCAGAGGGTATATGGTCGTCTCACCCTGAATCTGTTCTCTGCTTTTTTTCCTTTACACCCCTCAGGGTCTGTAGGCTTCTTTGCTCCCAAAGCACCTCTGGGGTAGCTAGACCACTTCATCCTCCCTTGTCTATTACTTATAGACTTTGAAAGACCTACCTGACCTTGCACCAGCACTTTCAAGAGAATGGGCTGCTTCAATGTGCTTTCCTGTTATTGGCTTTCATATACCTCCAAGGTGTTGTCTACCATCACATACCCTCTTTGTTACCTTATTCCCTTGTTGCAAAGCTACAATATTGATTACAGCTTTATTGTTAGAACCAGAACTCCAGGTCTTACACAAAGTGTTTTGAGAGTGGATCCTGACTGATGTTGATTTTTGGGGGTCGACGGCGACATCTATATTTTGGCTATATTCAAAACAAAGCCAATGGCAATGATTCCTAAGATGTCTTTATCGAACTCTCATGACAAAGACATTTGATTGTGGCTTGAACTGTTTTATAAATACATTTTAACTTTAAATTTAAATTTTATCCCAAACATAAACAGCTGAGAATCTCTCTAATCTTAAGAATTATATTTTTTATTATGTTAGGCATTATCTTTGCTACTAAGTCGTCTCTGCTCTTTTCTTTGTCTGCTCAGCCAGGGAGGGCTATCACTGCTCAAGCTACTCTATCCACTGAGTGCTATTTATATCAGAACAATCAGGTTTAGCTGTAAACACGAAGTGCATCATCTTATGTCTACTGGAGGATTTCTCCTGGGAAGCACCAACCAGACATGAACACTGATAACAGTGAGTGCCTGCAAGCTTTTCTTTCATCACTATTGTACTTTATCTAACTGACAATGTAGTTCACTTCTGTTTCTCCATTAAATAAATGCACATAGGGAGTGCCAAACATCTGAGTTCTATAGAATTACCATGAATTGTTGCTGTGATATGTTTTAATGTAGCTGCACTGAGATTAAGCTCCATTTTTACAATGTAGGCAGACAACCACACCCTTACTAGGGCTAAGTTTGGCTCTCATCATAAGACCAAGCGGAAATGTATGTTGCGGGAGTATGAGTTGTCTCCCTGTCTGTCAGTCTTTTTCTCTCTCATCGTCTATCTCGCTCTTGTTTGCTTAGTATGTGGGTAAATGTGTGTGTGGAGGCTACACATAGCAGCTGTCAGTGTGTGTGTGTATGTGTGATGTGGCGTGAGTCAGCTATCAGGGTTATGATGGTGCTGTATAATGGTCTGGGAGGTTAGAGAGAAAGATCAGATGAGTAGTGCTGATGGTTACCAAGCTGTTGCATCATCCCGGGACACTCACTGGAGCCAGATGCTACGTGGAGAGCAGCAGCCATGTGCAAAGAAACACATGAGCTGATGACACAGAATTAACTGGTGCTCACTGACCTAACTTCCTGAATCCCCTCAGCTTATATTTGTAAGTGGCTGGCTCATCATGGCGGGAAGAGATTTGAACTGTTGAAAAAACAGATGACTGCTTAAGTCACATTTTGCTGGAGAGCAGAAACATGGCTGTTAAAGCAATTAGTCACTGCTGATCCAAAATACTGCTTTATTATCACCCTACATATTTTTAATTTCTGAAAATCTAATTAAATAATGGCAATTTTTACATGTGCTTCAAATCTGTCCCCTTTGTTAGTGTTTCCCTGAGCAAACTGTGATTCGCTTCCTTTGAGCTTTAAACTGGCACCCTTACTGCAGATGATGTGTGGTTTTTCAGTCGACAATTTCAATTTAACTTCTTGGTTGATTTGGATTCAAACATAAATGTCTACCATAGAAAGGGCTGTGCACGCTTCCTGTCCTTTCCCTCTCCCCCATACAAAGAATTCACAGTCATCTTGGAATAATCCGGCCCTTTCACTCCTTTATTCTGTGTGTATGTGTGTGAGTGTGTGGAAGTTAGTATAAGTGAAGTTCAGGGTGTGGGAATTCCTGCCAAAACCATGAGGTAGCTAGAATGCTGCTGAATGGAGATGAGTGGGAACCAGGACTCTTTGTTTGTTTTCACTAGGAAACACAGAAAATGTCTATAACCAGTATTTATAAGGATTTCTCATAACACAAGTATTCAAGACTATTTTACATTAGCCATTCAGGAGAAAAAACATTTAAAAAAATGTTTCGCCGTTGATCTTTGTAATTTGTACGTTTTCAGTAATACACCTCTCTTGTAAGTCAGAGATAGGGAGAGAGAGAGATATGTCCATATCTATCCCTAACTATCTGTATGGACATCGCTTATTTTAAATGAGAAAATATGTTTTTTTGAATAATTTAGGTTATCTCAGTTTTAAACACGAGGGCTTCAATGAACACATGTAAAGCAGACATTATTACCTTCTCAGCTTCCTCTCCTCTGTTAGACTAACCACTGCATTCCTCCAGCTGTGCCATTGCTTTCATGTGTTATAGCGAGAAGGTTCTTTGGATGGAACCACACAGGCTGGTATGCATCGTAGTCAGGCTCCTCAACCACATTCTCATTAACCTTGCAGTGTGCAGTGAGTGTGCAGTGGTTATTGAGACAGGAGGCTCTCTGATGGTTTGGTTACAATGAGGAGGAGCGACCACAGATAATTATAGTGCTGTTGTTCTGCTTTCTCTGATGCAAGCATGCAAAGTAAGTGGTTCAGTGTAGCATCCAAACACAGTATTAGTTCTATATATATATTCTATAATATTCTATATAGAGAATATGATGGGTCATGTGGTCATGTTCATATTAATGATGACAAAGCAGAGGATGATCATAACTGTTTGAATTTTGGTAAATAGGTGATGTTTGAGTCCTTTGTTACTATAATTTAATGTATTACATGGTCTTTTTTCATGAGTAAGAAAAGTCTTACTCATTACTTTTTAATGACATTTTCCCAGGTATTCCTTTTCTCTCTTAGCCCACACATTTCATTATGCTCTTCACAGTAGAGCAAAAATGACAAAAATATATTTCAAGGAAAGACGTACCTGTGACTGCATGTTGCAACAGATCACTTAATACTTATATCACAGTACTTTTCAGCTGCCTAAAATGTCTTCATTGAAGACGTCACACATCCCATCAAAGTGTTACTGGAATGAAAAGCTGATTCATTTGACATGAGAGACAACTGTTTATACAGTCACGTTCCCAACAACGTCATGCAAAGAACCATCAGAGGTGTGCAGTTGATTAAAATGTTACCCAGGGGATTATTGAGTTGGTATACGAAGTACTTATGAGGTCAAGTGAGCTGGAGTTTAGCTCAATAATCTGTAATTCCCTCTCTGATGGGCTTTTCTTGGCACTTTTTACACACGACGTAGCTCCTGTTATTTAATGCCACATGAAATTACCATAAAAACCTCCCTTTGAAAGCTATGTTTAATCTTGAAATAAATCATTATGCATTAAGCATTAAAACTGTCTAAACCTTGGTTTAAACATTTCAAAACAGACAACAGGCTAATTGTCATCAAGGAAGAAGATTTACTTATGGAAAAGTTTATGGTTTCAAAATTTTGCATGCATCTGCTCATTCAGACCAAGGCACTCTCATCGGCCATTAAACCAAACTGCTAACATGCTAAGTAGCCAGTCAGTTATAAAGCAGCCTTACACAGGGTTTCTGCAGGGTTATAAAAAGTCTTTCTTGAAAAATGTAATAATCTCAATTGTAGGCCTTAAAAATTCTTAAATATATCAGATTATTATGCATTAGGTCATAAACACAGCGACTCGCATAGTCAGAATTGATCACAATACACTTGGATACTTATAGTCTCTGTAGTCTGCAAGATCTCTGATGTATCTTGAAGGGTCATTCTCTACCAGGCTACTTCACTTGAACTTTAATTATGGGGAATTTAAATAATTTAGGGACTCTGATATTCCCTTCATTTCTGTCGTACTTGATGTATGTCTTAAATTTAATTCAATATGGTCTTTAAAAGCTCCTGAAAAGTCTTATATTAAACTTGGTAACCCTGCAGGAGCCCTGCACACAGATAACATGTCGGCTGAATGTTAGTTCTACTGAATGTCGTTCTTCCAGGGCTGGCTCTGACCTCCTTTCCAGCTCATCTGAGGGAGAGCAAGGGGAGGAGGGAGGCAGGAGGGAACATAAATGTCCTGCTGGTGAGGCCGGCCAACATTCCTACATCACTTCCTCCTCTAACATCTGGCAATGATCAGGGCAGGCAGGGAGAGAGAGGGAGAGAGAGAGAGAGAGAGGCAGGACGCATCTCACTGGCTGGCTCAGTGTTCATTTTCGGGTGCAGACCATGAGGCATCGCATTGCAAGACCGCCCACTCGATCTGATTCCCCCTCGCTGCAAAACAAAATGAAGCAAGATGGAGTTTTTGCGTCAATGTATCTCCAGTAGTTTGTTTACAATTTGCATATGATTATGTAGGCTAGCTTTTCATATGTTCTGTCATACATCACTGTTTAGTATATCATGATGCAAAGTGGTTGTATGTGTTTGCCTGCATGTTTGAGTATGAGCTGAAAAAGAAAAAGAAAGAAACTAAAAGCTCCCTGTTTCTTCTCTTCTCAGGATGGCCTAGCGGTGTTGTGCTGTCAGTGGTCTATCAGCAGTGAGCTACCTGGCCCAGAGGTGGGTAATACAACTCACCAAAATATACCCAATTCATTTTGAGTGTATGTAACAAATATATTAAGCAATTATTCAAATTTGCCTCCATTCTGAGATACAACTTCACTTTCAGAACTATTTCAGAAATTTAAGGATTTAACTTGACGTACTGAAATGATACGATAATAAGACTCAGAAAATGCATCTGTGTATTTGCTCTTGTCCCAGTAGGTGTGTACCAGAGGCAGCAGCAGGTTGCAGAGATGAGTGTGACCTCCTGGTTCCTGGTGAGCAGCGGGGGCACTCGCCACCGACTCCCACGGGAAATGATTTTTGTCGGGCGGGATGACTGTGAGCTCATGCTGCAGGTGAGAGCACGTTACACACCAATTTCTCCACTGACAGCAGCCTCATCAGTCTCAGTAAAGCAGAACAGACAAAATATGTTTTCACTTTGAGAAATTGCTCTCCTTCCCTGGCTATTCAAAGAAAAATATCTCGTCTCATGCATCCTGAGTCTTAGTGAGTTAAACATGAAGATGTATTAAGATAATATGATAACTTATAACACACAGAGCCTGACTCTCATTTAGATTCCTCTCCGTCAAATAAAAACACTGTTGACCTCTCTCTGATCTATTTACTGAGCTAGACTGAGGACACTGCAAAGGAACCCTTGTGTTGTGTTGTCGTTACAGAGCATGCTTATATGTCCTCATGTTTGTCTGCAGGTTTGCGTCACTGTGTGTACTGAAGTGGTGTCTTGAATCCAGAGACCACAGTTTGTGCTCATGTGTACCTCTGGTCCTTGCGCTATTAATAGAAAGTGGGGCAGATAACTCTTCAGTTAGATCTTATCTGGCTGAGTCAGTTGTAGTTGTGGGTAGAGGGTGCATCTATTACTGCAGCACCCTCTGTTATGACTTTACATTTTGAGAGAAGGTATTATTGGCTCCAGTGTCTGTCTGAAAGTCAAGAAAACATTCAGAAGTAATTGATATTTGTTCATATTTGTTTCTATTGTTTCTCACAATCTCTCCCTTTTTTTGAGAAGTTGAAGGACTCATTTTTAATGTGGTCTCATTTGTTCTTGTGGTGAGATTTTGTTTTGTCTGCAACAGAACTGAAAAAACATTTCGATTTTTTTTTTAATGAAACTTCACTGTAATGTGATTCAAACAGTGAGGTTGTGCCCTTTGATACCTTGGGTTTGTCTCTTTTTGAACGTTTTGTAAATCCCAGGGGATATGTTGTTATTTTTCCAGTTGACCTAAATCCTCTCACAGTCATGTTCTTTCATGAGGGGACTTCAAGAGAGCAGTAATAAGGACCATTTACTGAAGCATGTAGAGTTGTGAACGTGTGCATTTTGAGCAGCTCCTTACAGTTGTCCTCCATGTGACTTTGTTAATGTACCATGGTGTCATCACATGGCTGTACAAGGGGCTTTTGTCATCCTGCTTTAAACACAAACATTTACTTGCAGACAATCAAATTTCAAATGAATGTATGGCTGAGAATGATCAGTGTTACATTGTTTTTGTTACATCTTGCTAAATATACCCGCTGCTTGGTTTGCCATCAATCTCATACTCATACAGTTTTGACAGTTGTACTATTCACAAACTGTGGCTGGAATACATTCATCTTTTTTGTGTATTGGAAAAGGGAAGGCAAAGTAAATACAGGAAGAGAGTTACCATGATATCAGCTTGAATCATTTATATTTTTACTCTGGGTAGAAGTTAACTGGATATAATAAGTCATTGAGGATTTTGCAACTTGCTGCAACTGGTCTGAAGTCTGTGTGTTTGTGTGTTTGTGTGTGTGTGCGTGTGTTGTGTTTTCCTGTCTCTATTTCTTCTTATTTTTCCTGCCCATCCTCTTCTTTTTCCCTCTCTTTCTTTATTTCTTGGCAACAAAGTAAAAAGTTATGAACAAGTTTAAACTTTAGTTGTGTTGTGTAATTTCTTAGCTACGTTGAGCCACTCTACGTTTGTGTTCTAAGTTCTAAGCAGCTCAGTTGGTTTCTATCTTTTTTGATCTCACCTAAGCTCACTACCATAATCTTTTTAAAGGGCGACTATAGCTTTGCTTCTCTTGGCTTTAATTTAGAATTATCTTGACACTTCACTGACTTCAGCATGAATGTGCCATCCAGTTACCTTCTTTTGTTAGTGATTGGTTTGTGGGAAAGATTCATACGAGGACTAATTATGACTTCAGCTCTCAGGAATGTTCAAGTACAATTAACTAGATCCAACTACACAAATTACATATTTTTTGGTTTCAATCATTTAATTTTCAATCCAATGTTGTGCAGTTTGTGATTCAGACAAAGTGATCATTCATCATTTAGATAGTATTAGAGAAAAGGGTAGCTGAAAAAGGAAACAAGTTATTGACTAAGAAATATCTTATTTTTTTAGAAATGAGAAAAAAAAAGATCCTTGATTCACTGAAATAATTAAAATAGCTAACGCAAACAACAAAAACAAACAACACCAGGACAAGGTTCCTTGTTGTATCTGAAGGGCGCTCTAACAGATATTTGGAGACAACAGCAAATTTTTCCCCAGTCAGTGTTGATGCATAAGTTCTATGACATTGATACATGAGAGGTATTTTCCACAAAGCCAGATTCCACAATACACCGTTTGCAATTTATCCTCAAAACAGCTGATGGGCTCATATCTGGACACCTTAGAAAATCAATACATTCACCTCCAGCCCCTCATTACACCACTGTTCTCCTTTACGTGTATTTATGTGTGTATCTGTGTGTGCCTGTGTTCAGCTGTGCATGAATGTGGAGGTGTCAGTAAAATGTGGGCAGTCTGAGACATTGAAATAACTGCAGACAAGGATTTAACTTGATATCATAGCAAATATCATACATAGTAACATTGAGACTCACGGACAAGGTTGCATTTTTAACATAGGATGCTCCTGGTTGCAGCTCAGGTGTTGAAACAAGCAGTGTGCTAATTCTAAACAGAAATTTAGAATTAGATCAGCAACAATAATAGAGTAAAGCTAACATTTTTCACTGCATGTTAAAAAATTCGGAACCAACGCCATCAGATCTTAATGACCAGATCTCATTTATTACATTAAGTCCACGACACTGGGTTAATGTTAATGCTTGTGTTTTTCTTTAAAGTCCCGCAGTGTGGATAAACAGCATGCAGTCATCAACTATGAGGGTGGAACTGATGAGCACAAGGTCAAAGACCTTGGCAGTCTGAATGGGGTGAGTACAAAGATAGAAGGAAAACAGAACTAAGACAGGACAGACAAAAAGAGGAGAGGGGGGAGGGGGGGGGTCAGATGATGGATGAAGGATGGGTTTAGATAAGAGAATGAGTTTAAGCAGCTGGAGGACAGAAAAAAGGAGGTTTAGAGGAAGATTGATGGAGAATTCGAGAAATCAAGAGATTAAAAAAAGACAAAAACTCCAAAGACATTCAAGGTAAAAGTAGATGTAGATGAGGATGGTTGAGAAGGGTTAGAGGTTAACATATTTTTGGCGGTCAATGGGACCTATGACCCAATCGATCTCTGTGTCAATGAAGATTTATATCAGAGCCAAGGTCAATTTGAATCTAAACCTAATTATGTAAATAGCTACTTCAGGGCATAGTCTGTGATTTAAATTTTGACCACAGGGTCACTCTGTCTGAACTAAAAACACTTTCAGACCTGCTGTAATTCTTAAATAGATGTTAGAAGAGAGGCCATGACAACAATTAAATCAAAATTGTGTAAACACAACAGGGCAGTTGGCAGGAAGGAATCCATTGTATGAGCAGCAGATGAGGAATGCAGGGAAGTAAATGTACTTTATTCAAATAATTAATACAATCTGATTATAATCACTTCAGTAAAGCTGATATATTTCTAACAAATAACATTGGGTTTTAAAAGAGTTGTTAAAAAATGGTGTGGATATTCTGACTTCTTTCCAGATGATGATTGTGTGTGTGAAGAAACACAGTGTATGGTCTGTTTCAAAGGTATTTGGGGAAATATGGTAAATCTCGAAGTGAAGCTGAGGTTGATTACGCAGGTTCAAAGAGATCAGATACATCTTAACACACACAAAAAATCCACTTCACTTAAAGACATTCACAGTTCCCTCTTGCTGTTAGTCATATGTGGTGATTTAGCAGTCAGCCACAGTCCACCAGATTGGGAACATGCAGAATGCCCTCACATCCTCTCCAGCTGTCAGACAGGAAGCCACAGTCAGAGCCACTTCCTGCTGTGTCATTAACCGTCCAGCATCTTTAGTTGGACTCAGAGGGAGTTTTCTCCTGCTGAGTCAGAGAATAGGAAGAGATTGGCCTCAGTAATGTTTTACTATAACAGCAGAGCTGGCTACATAGATTGATTTCTTATAAAGAAACACCAGGATCAGCTAATTCAAATGTTCTCACTGACAACATGCAGGTTTCATTTTACTGTCTGGTGTAACATAACTTATAACCACGAAAGGAAAATCCTGAATGAAGAGTTGGTTTTTCCACTCGATCTCTAGAAAGCTAACTAACAACAATGCTTAATAATTATTCACTAAAGCAATTCCTTATTCAAGGTAATCACATTTTTTGTTGTTATCTTCCTTTCTTACTTTAGGTCTTTTGTTGCATTGCAGCTTATTAGAAATAAAGATTTTTACTGTTTTACAGATGATAGATGATTTATTGTTTATTTTATGTTTGGGTTATTGGTCATTGTTGATTTGAATCACAGTCTTGTTTTTTTCTTGTCTTTTCTTGCCACTGCAGACCTTTGTAAATGATGTCCGCATCCAGGAGCAGATGTACATCACTCTGAAGTTGGAGGACAAGCTGAGATTTGGATATGATATCCTTTTACTGTATGAAATGTGTTTTTTTACTTTACAGATTGCGATAGTTAATTATTAAATGTGTGTGTGTGTGTGTGTGTGTGTGTGTGTGTGTCATAATTCTGCTTTTGTGACCAGTATTTCCTTAACCTGTCTCACATACAAACCTGTTCACGGTGGTGAGAGGAGAGCTCACTGTGCCTGAGGAGGCTCTAAAGGCAAGAACAGACACACACACACATACACAATCTGTTGTGTATCAGTGGTCACCATGATACACAGCTCTTTTATACACTGTAAATTATATCCATTGTTGTATTGTTTATCTCCCTGTAGCATGAAAAGTTCACAAGTGGACTCCAACTCGGCAAGAAGCCATCCAATGGTGAAACCACTAATACCGCTACCACTAAGTCTCCCATGAAGACTCCAACAAAAACATTTAAGTCCCCCAGTGGTGGCGCCCCTAGGCCAGCGGAGAAGAGCAGAGGAGCAGACGGGGTCACGTCCTCCAAAGAGCCACCATCTAAACCTGTGGACGGTCACAAAGCAGAGGACAGGACAGGAGGTGAGAAACACAGCAAAGGGGAAATGCAAACCTGTCTCAGTAATGATATTATCGAATCTGAATTTTTGTTGTGCAATGTCTTTTATATAATGTGAATTAATGAATTGTACGTGTATGTGTACTTGTCTCACGGTTTTTATTATTTCTATCTCTTCTGTAAATGCTTCCGCAATTGTGTTAATCCAATTTCATGGTCCATATTTGAAAAACACAAAAACATACTAGTTAAATTCACTGTGATTTCAATCTGTGCTCATGGATTTCAGGGAGGATTTCCTCTCAAAGAAAACACATTTTCAGACAGAATATTGTGAAATAAAGTGTGGTGGGGTTTTATTTCAGACCAGTAGGGGGTGAACAAGCTCAAAATCACACAGTCATTCTTTGATATCATGAATGTGGTTTAGGTCTAAGGGTGTCCTTCATAATCTCTGACCAAACTAGGGTGCTAGCAGGGGTCCTGGGTAATCTCCAGATGTTGAAACAAGGCCACATGGGGCTTGTGTTATTGCACAGATTTAGCAGTAACAGGGTCAGAGTGCCTGCATAATGCAAACCCATATGCCAGCACTACTTCGCCTAAAATAGAGTACAATTCACAGACACGCACACATATGGATAAAAAAAAAAGCAAATATACATGTACAGTGTTGTAAGTCACCCCATCTACTGCTCATGCTTTTAGTGACAACCTCTCTGCGGTTCTAGAGGATATAATCCTGCAGCATTATTACTGTAATACCAGGCCTCACCCAGATATTATACCTCACAGAGCACATACATCCTGTAGCTTTTATATAGAGTACCCCCAGTTACTGCACTCAATTTGGCACATAGCATCTATAATTATCTGGATACACTGTGATTAAGTTTACACATCTCAGGATAAGGGGTACTTAAAGAAAGTAAAGGGAGAGGAGAGTAATTAACACAGGATGAGATGTACTCTGGCACAGTGGTCTAAGAAGCAACATCGCTGGTTCAAATCCGACTGGAATTATTTGTGGCGTGTCTTTCCCCTTTCTCTTAGTTATGTTTCCTGTCACTTTTCTACTGTGCTGTCCAAATCTGCCACAGGATGCTTGTCCCCTGTCAACTTGAACTCAAACAGGGACAGTCAGGCAAACGGAAAGTCCCTCTTCCATTCAAAGCACGTGTGTCTGTGGGAGAGATAGAGGAAGAGTATCATAAAGAGAGCATGCACATGTGTGTGTGCCCATCTTTTTTGCTAAACTTCTAAAAAATATATGGTGCAAGTCCCGACAAACCCATACGCAAAGAGCAGCTGTGTTCACTTTGTGGCACCATGACACAATGAACAGTACCAGAGTGTGTAAAGTACATAACAAACATGACAGGCCCCAGTCAAAGCTACAATGAAATGTGTCCTACTCTGCTGGGCTTTGTTAAACTGTGTCTGCATGTGTGCCTCTGTCTCAGGGGACATCGCAGCTCTTCCTCGTGGAACCCCTCTGTACGGCCAGCCATCTTGGTGGGGGGATGGGGATGCGGATGACGAGAACTCCTTCAAACAAGACAGCAAGTCATCCATCAAAAAGCCTGACGGTGCCATTTCAGGTAGGATGCATTTCATTTTTAAATTTCTGTCACACACATCATCTCCTCATCACAATAGTACTCACATAGAGTAGAAAACACAAGGGCAACAATGATTTAAATGGTTTGAAGTCCATATTATTATATTCTTAAAACATTATAAATGTTATATGATGCCTCTATATTTGCTAAATATCACCACCTTCAAATTGGACTGCACATTGACTTGAAAGTTAAATGTTATTGGGTTAAAAATCGCAACAATCCAGAACATGTACGTGTAACATCCAAGTGCACGCAAAGGATTTTTTCAGAGCTTGAATTTGTGTCCGTTTGCATGCAGTATGTGTATGTATGGTGACCATTGGACTATGGGGGGGGGGGTCCCTGTCAGAGGAACAAGATTAGAGGCTACACCAATAGTAAAACAGCTCAGTGATACAAACTCAGTCTGTGCCAGGCTCATCTAGTGTGGACCAGTGTGGTCAGAAGGAGTGGGGGAGGTTAATCAAACACTGCAGCAGACTGAAGCACTCGCAAATCTCTCATCACATCTGGGTGGATACTTTGGCATTGTCTTCACTGGAGACTGTCTGTATCAGCTCTTTTAACATTTAGGAACTCTATCTGTTTGTTTGATGCAGATTTTTCTATGGATTTTAGCTAAGCATTTTTTAGCAGCTAGAGTGGAATTAGAAAGGACTGATTTTGGAGTAAATCTGTGCAAGCGTGGCAGGGTGATAGAAAACCTTTCCAAAAAATCGGATGGGATTGGCAACCTCAGTCATGGAAGAGGGTGAGTGGCATTTTGCCTTCTTGACTTTGGCTCGAAGTGCAGAATGGATGTAGTGATGTTGGATTTGTTTTGTGAAGCAGCATGCTCCAGGAGGTGTTGCACTCGTGTATTTATGTAGGTTAAATGCATAGACTGTATATAAGGTTAAATGGACCTCATCATTAGAACAGGTTCCGATCAGCCTACATGTTTTTGAAATAGTTTGAGCACAGCTTCTACATCTGTTCTAATAAACTGTTAGAATCAGTTTCAGCAGAGAAGAGGAAGTGAAAAAAAGAAAGAGAGGAAGTGATTTTGTTTGTTTGGTTATGTGTTTTCTGTGTGTGTCACTAAAGTTAGATGTGTGTCTTTCTCCTTCCCACTGAACAGGCTGTGTTGTCAGAGCTCCCTACACCCCTCCCCCTGTGTATTGTCACTGGCTGATTGGGTTACGCCATTGCATATATCTCCCCTCCAGTCCTCCCAACACACAAACACACTCCACTCATTGTTCAAACAGACCCCTCTCCCACTCTACACTGCAGCGATCATAAGTTAACCACTCTCTAATTCCCCGGTAAGTATCACTCTCAATTCCATATATTTCAGTCAATGGAGCTGGGAAAGATCTTTCAGTTTTAATCAACTTGTTAGTCGCACATCTACTTACATTGCATTTGCTTTACTACCTGTGGTACGTTTGAGAACTATGTGTTAACAGTATTAAGCTCTCAAGAATATTACAATCTGACCATTTGTCAGGCCGGACCATTTTGTAACTGTTGAATGTCCACATGTGGTGTCATTAATCTGTAACTTTGTGCCTGTTGCAAGTTTTACATTTTCTATGTAGTTGACAGTGATGAAAAACACTAACACTATGAAGTTTTCCATGTAGTCTTATCACAAGCATCATTAAACCCATTCATACATTTTCACAGAAATTCATATGGGAGCTTCTCAGACAAGCCATGTAATCTATAATGGCATATGAGGGGAAACTCTAAGATACAGGAACTTTAGTCACTTCATAATTTCAAGCAAGGAGCAAATACATTGAAACACCATATCATGGTTTATGTACATGTACAGGGTTGTTGTTGGATTTTAAAGCCCCCTGAGAAATGTGAACAAAGTCCTGCCCCTATGTATAAAAGTTGAAAATTGTTTGTCAGTCTTTTTTGCGTGGTATTGCTTTCTCTGTTCAGTCATTGCATCTTGAACCTCATTCAACATATTTAATCTACCTCATATTTGCACCCCCTTTTTAAATCCATGTTGTAAATCCTCCCAAATTTGGAGAGCAGCTTATGCTGGCATCCGCTGATCTCGTTTCAAAGATGACTCCAAGTGGAAAACAGGCTTTTTAATTTAGGGATTCGGTTTCTGAGAAGATTGTACTTTGTCCTTAAGTCATATTTTCATAGTCATATAAGATATTACACACAATTCTTTCTCTTGTTATTGTATTCTGCAAAGTCAGTTTCTGTTTCTTGTTTCTCGTGTGCCAGTTGCCATATGTTCCTGCGTTTGCTCCCAACATGAAGCAGATGGCCTCTCTAATTTCTGAAAGCATCATTTATCATATTCAGACCCCACAGAGGCTCTGTTTGTTAATATGAACAGATGAGAAAATAAGCACTTCATATTGTGAGTGCACCAGAGCACACGTTGTCCTGACTATATCTCTGAGAGACAGTGAAAAAGACAGACAGTCATAGACCGTACTTCATATTTGCATGTCTACATTGTATTTGTAGTTTGCCTCTACACCAAGAAGGATACAGTAATTCTGATTTTAAAAATGAGACCCACTTGCTAAAGATCAGACCACAACTGATTTGTCCATGTAGGGCTTATGTTGACCTTTAACTTCAAACTTCTGATATTGAATCATAGAATGAATCTGTCACTGTGGCTTTTCAACACTTGGATGTTTTGTTATTAAACTGATTAATGTATGTTTCATGCTCAAGATTTGGATAGAAGAAGATAAACTGAGCAAAATATTCGTATGACTACTCCTAAGCTTAATGATGACACATAAATCCACACAATTTCCCACATTAAAAAGTTTCTTCTTTGAAGTTGCTTTGCCATAAATATAAGTCTCACTCACATACATCAACATTGGAATCATTAACATTTCCAATGTTTTTACGTGTTTTTTCCAAATTCAGAGAGCAAAGAGGCACGTCGAGGGGAGAAGGCGAAAGAGGACGGTATACATGCGTCCCCTGCCCACGATTCCAGATACTGTGAGATCCCTACCAAGGAGGGTCACATGGCCAATAACGGCATCCATGAGATTCCCACTAAGGACACAGAAGGCAATAACATTCTCAGCGCTGCAGGTCAAATATGTGTTTAATTTATTCCAATTTATTTTAAAAAAGAAAGAGGTGACTAGTTGTGTATTTTTGGTCATTTATATTTTAATTAAGGGTAAGGTTATTGTGTCTGTGACAGATTAAAACTATTGTTGTTTGTAGTAATAGAGCAAAGATGGTAAGTCTCTACTGCTTTTAGTCTTGATTAGTATATTTATGTATGTGCTGTTCACATTTTAGCCACATGAAGTTGGTTTTGAGAAATATGTTCTGGCCACTTGTGTCCTGTGCAAAAAAAGCAACTAATCTTCAACCAAAGCCATTAGCTGATTTTATTATATTTGGAAAACATCTGTGTGTTTTTTAAGAGAGCTTCTTGTAATAAGTATTATTGACTGACACTGACTTACACAGTAACACAACTGCGATGTCTGCTCCACAGCTCAAGGTCATGCCTCCTTCACCATAGAGTTTGACAGCACTTCTCCAGGGAAGGTCACCATCAAAGACCATGTGTCAAAGTTAACATCTGACCACCACAGATCTCGCTCCAAGAAGAGTGGAGCAGGAAGTGGAGGCGCAGGAGGGAGGGACTTGAGCACACTTCAAGCGGCTATGATGGCATCAGAGAGCAAAGTGGCTGATTGGCTGGCCCAGAATGACCCAACTCTGGTGCGCAGCGAGTCAACAGAGGACGACAGCAAGAGCATCAAGAGTGACGTGCCAGTCCATCTCAAAAGACTGAAAGGTGGAGTTTTTTTATTTTTCCGTCCTCAAAGCTACAGATTGTTTAAAAGTTTTTGCTGTTCTCGTTTCTGGACGTGTACTTTCATTTAGCCTGTATTCACATTTCCTTTTGTGTTGTCCGTTATTTAACTAGAATAATGATCATACGAGTTATACCTTAATTTTACATGATTTAGCACACTCTCAATAACTATCCATTTGTCTCTTCAATTATGTGAAGACTGCGTAGATTCTTTGTTAGGAGCAGGGGTTGTTGGCAGTGGTAACCAAGTCGGGGGATTAGCAGCTACCAGACAGAAACATTTAAACCCCTATCTACTCCTCTAGTGCTCTGACAGCCAATGACAGGGCTTAGCAGCATAGCAGAGCCTCCATTGAATTTCACTTTTTCACCATTTACAGACACATTATCCAGTGCGGAGCACATACTCTATGCATGTACTAATACACGGCAGTTAACACCTGACTAGAAGCGCTTCAGATGCAGCTTTTTGTGAAAAAGAATTTCTTTCGCATTGTAATTGTTGACATCTGAATCTTCTACTTATACCTCTGTGGGCTTGTTGCTATGTATCTTTGGGGTAAGGTTTGAAATTGCTGACTGTAAATCACATTTGTCACTATGGTTCTTTGTTACCTTTACCATGCCAGGGTTTTTTGTAAGAAAGGCCCAGACAAAGCAATGCTTGGCTTTAAGCTGTTAGTAAATAGAGTTTAAGTTTAATGCTAAGCTAAGCTATGGTAGACTACACGCTGGTCATGAGTTAATTAAATGGAGGCCAATTTATGATGCTGTTGACATGTATGGGGGAGGGACCAGCAGCCAGGAGCTGATGGAAGTGGAAGCCTGTCAGGAAACAGTGCAGGGCAGGGAAGCTAATTCAGTAAATGGACGTAGCAGAACATGCATGACAACTGGCTGACAGAGTGGCTCACCTAGTGAATGTCTATGGGTGAATGTCTGACTGACTTTGGGGCTGCTAGAAAGTGCAGTCTTTGAGATGGTGTTTAGTCGATAAAAAAAGAGAGGTTGTGAGATGGGTTAGAGGAAACATAAGAACCACAGACAAGGAAAAGGAGAGATGATCAAGGAGGAATAGAGGCAAAAAGAGGATGAAGAGGGATGGATAGAGGACAGGTGGATGGTTGTATGGAAAGCTGTCTATTAATGCCGTCTGTGGACACATGAGGCACAATGAAACAAGCACAAGGGGTAGATGGGTGACAGAGCGAGGATAAGAACCTCACTGTAATGCTGAGAGCAGCAATTAACAGCAAAGGTTGATTTAACAAAGGTGGAGAAAGGAAGGTAGAGTGAGAGAAAGAGAGAAAGAAGCTTGCTGCCTGTACTGCAGTGTGAATGGAATGGGATGTTGAGGAGAGAGAGAGAGCAGTTTTTGGTAGTTGTTATAGAAACAGTGATCAAATGATTGAATGAACGAATACAGATATACATGTGGAAGGGGCAAAAATTGCAGTGTCTCTGTCTATGTGTTTGCGCATGTGTGTGGGTGCGTGTGTGTGTGTGTGATGGCTGCAGGAGCACTTGGAAAATGCTCGTCTTTTAGCGCTGACTTGTGTGGATTTGTGTGGCAGAAATTTGTCGAGTCTGTGTTTGCTGCATGTGTGTGTGTTCGAATCATGCTCAGTGCTGATCTGCAGACGAGCAACGCGGCATGTGCGAGAGGACACATGTGAGATGTGCGTAGGGTGTGTCATCGATGAGGGAGGCAGAGAGGGAGGCAGAGGTTTGGCGAGGAAACTGATCCACAGCTTCTGATTTGTAAGCAGTAAGGTGAGTCTTTGTTTTCTTGCTGTATGGAGCATTGCAGAGGATTCATCTTTATACTGTCTATTTATTCTATCAGTTGTGGAAGATGAACCCTCATGCCTGTATTGTTGTAACATCTAAAAATCTGATTGTTTTCCTTCCCAATAAGATTCTGATCATTGCAGTGCTTTAGATGAATATTCTCTTCATTATTAAGATTATTTACTGTGAGTTGATAAATGATAATTACTTCCTGCACAACTGACATTATTTTCAGTAGCAGGACAAAATTAAAAAATACACAAGGGTTGAACATCAATGTTATATATGCGTATTTTACTACTTCACTGGATTGTATGATCACTGTATATTTGAGGTTTGCCTGTGCAGCTGTGTATGCATCTCAAGTAAGTCCATCCTGGTTCGAGCACTCAGTTTTGTGTGTGTGTGTGTGTGTTGTGTGTGTGTTGTGTGTGTGTTGTGTGTGTGTGTGTGTGTGTGTGTGTGTGTGTGTGTGTGTGTGTGTGTGTGTGTGTGTGTGTGTGTGTGTGTGTGTGTGTGTGTGTGTGTGTGTNGTGTGTGTGTGTGTGTGTGTGTGTGTGTGTGTGTGTGTGTGTGTGTGTGTGTGTGTGTGTGTGTGTGTGTGTGTGTGCGCGCGCGCGCGCGCGCGCGCCAGCGGCAAAGGCCAGCTCCACTGTGAGTCATGGTGGGGCGAGCGGGGAAGAGCACTGGACTCTCACAGACACCTCTGTTCTCTGCTGGCCTTTGCCAACGGCTCCTTTGTCTGGGGCACATAGCATGAAAGACTTGCCTCAATCTCTTGGTCTTATCTGCTGATCTGCCTGAGCTACTGTAACGCACCGCTGCTTTCCTTTCCCATTCCTCGTATGCCGTCTTTTTCTTCTCTTTAATGAAGTGCATGCTTTATCAAATTTCAAATGGTGATAAAAGGCAGGGAAGATAGAGGAGGAGGTCGATGGTGGAATGTGACAAATGAGCTGCAGAATATGCCCTAGGCCACAGAGTCATTGTGATACCCCAGTGTAGAAAGACTGTTCAGAGGGGCACTCCAGTGATTAATATTGTTCTATGCTAGAGGACTTGTTAAAGTCAAGCTCGAATAATATTGGACCTAGCAGTTCCTGCAATGCATATTGTCTTTCACTAGACTCTTTAATTTCCATATTTAGTTATGCAGCCCAAGCAGAGACAAATCTTCGTGACATTTCTTAGACTTAATAAAGTTCCTCCACAAAGACATTATCCAACTGACTCCTCTGGCAGAGTAGTTCTAGCATACTCCCTATAAATACACAATGCAAATACCTATATTAGTGATGATGTGATATGCTGATTCTCTCTGAATTTGGCCAATGTCACGCCTTGTCAAATGTTCTCATTTTCCAGTGTCGAGCGTTTATATAATATTCCATGAATTTCCGACATTATTCTACACTTTGTCCTTCAATGATCAGGTTAGTAAGACAAAAGTGCAGTGACATCAAAATAGACTGATTCAAACTCAGTTTGGTTTTCTCTTTCGTCCTTTTTAATCCACTTTCTCTCCTTTCCAATCTAGCCCTCTCTTTTACACAGCCTCTATCCCTGTTCACCCTCCCCTTTTCTTTCCCCTCTTTCCTGTCACCTCCCCTCCTATCCCTGAAGCCCCACCATCATCACCCCCAATGCACACACCAAACCACTTACACACTTTCTTGCATCCAGCCTCCTGCTCCCCCTCCAAGTTCTCGTCCTCCCCTCCCCCTCTTTGCCCCCTCTCTCTCTCTCCCTCTCTCTCTCTTGCTGTCAGTGAAGTAGGCAGGGCCAGTAACTGTGTGGGTGGCATGTCTGGATTAGTGTTGCACTCTGTCTGCCATCGTACTGAGAGGACAGGCTGATGTGACCCCGACCAATGAAAATGTAGAAATAGCAGTTTTGTGGTGGGTAAGCCAAGCGTAGTGAATTTACAATCTGTTATGCATTTGATTGATTAGAATCAGGCCTCAGCTGAAAGTTTATAGATTTTGAGCTGTAACGGTTCCCAGACATTGTTTCGTGTTGCTGTGTCCACAATGGATGTGCTTTCAGGATGATGTGGTTCTATGCTTTGGTCAGTATGGGACTTTTGTCTTCATCTTGCTCTTGATTGTTTAATTCAATTTAATATAACTGCCACTCACATTGTTGTACTGCACAATACTGCTGCATTGTATCTTTTTGATATACAAAAGCTGCTTTCTATTACGCATGTTAAAATATGAATTCAATAATGTTGGCTAACATAACATCCTACAGGTGATAAGTACAGTTGAAGTATTGAGGCCGTAGTTGTTGTTAATTGCATTTAAAAAGGACCCAGATAAACAAACTCCCATTTTACCGTTGTATGTTATGAAGTGTCATAAGAAACCTTTGATAATAAGCACTTTGTTAAAAACATTTATTCTATTTCCCTCATAGGCAGCAAGCATGAAGATGGCACCCAGAGTGACTCTGAAAATGGACTTGGCCTTCGTTTTGCCAACCGCCGCCATGCCCTTGAGGAACGTCTGAAAGCAGCACACAGCCACGTGGGAGCAGGAGGTGGGAACGTAACAGTGAGCGGGTCCCGAGGAACTGGCCCCCGCACTGCCTTCATGATCGAGTTCTACGACGAGGAAAACCCTCGCAAGCGCCGGTCGTACTCGTTTTCCCAGACTGCACCCCTGCTGGGGGGAGGAGCTGGTGGAGAGGGACTGTGTCCTCAACCTCCATCTCATCCTAAGGTGTTCAGCATTTCCACCTCTGCTACCACAGCCTCAGAATCAGGTAACAAAAAAGGAGTTATGATTAAACATGTTACTTAGTAGCTTTGTCATTCATTCACATCTAGACCACCTTTGACATTTAATCTGTTACTACAGGTTGTTCCTGAAGCTTTTTTCTCAGTTGATGTATTTCTGCTTGTTCCTGCTAGGTAAAACCCCAGCTCCAATACCGGCTACAGTGACTGCCGGGGCTCCTACGGCTGCCCGTGTGCTGCTCAAGCAGAGGTCTGAGGACTTGAGTATCGGTCGGAGCTCAGCCAGTACCGGGCTAGCGACAGGGAGCCCCACCAGCCCCAGCGAGGAAGCCTCAGTCGTGGGGAAAGTTGGAGCTGGAGATGCAGAGGATGACCACAGTGATAAAGGGACCTACACTATCGAACTGGAGAACAGGAACCCAGAGGAAGAAGAGGCCAGGCGCATGATAGACAAGGTAGAAATGTGCACAGATGTCAGCCACTACCTTCCCAAATTGGATTGCTTCTATACACAAACTTGAAACACTGTGTCTTTACTGCAAAGTTTCTGATTTACAACATTATGTCATGTATTTGGAATTATATTACAACGACTGAAAGATTGAAAATTAGCTTTTGCATATTTGTCCTACAAAGAGGGCAAATAATTCATTAAAGCCATTTTCATTTATTACAAGTAATTACATTATTACATTTTCATTGATTATCACTTAAAGTTATTCTGCATTGACTATAAAGGGAAGAATATGACCAAACACAAACAGACCAAAGAGAACATAATAGTCTTCTATTACCTCTTTTAATGGCACTTTCAAGGTTAGCGAGTCATCTGAGACTATTTAATTTTTTTCCTCTAAAACAAACCTATGATCTCTCTTTTACCCTGCTCGACAACCACTCCATCCTTTCTGCCTCACTGGTAAACCTAATGCTTCTGTAATAGCCCGGAGAGACTTGCTCTATCAAGCACTGACTTTGTTTTATCAAACGATGCTCCAGGGAGGCAGAAAACCCATCATCACAACTACTGTTGCCTCTGTCCTGTACAGAGCTGTGTGAAGGTCACAGAACACATGTCTGAATGGGACAGTGAGAGAGAGACAGATAGTTGCAGTTGTTTTATGGAAAGATTTAATACATTTTACTTCATTACAAGTAATGTAGGAATTTAAAAGAGTACAAAAAAAGGAAAATCCGACTAGACAGTAGTTTGTGATGGTTTTAAATGGCCACCTCGTAGATTTAGAAGCTAGAACTTGAATAATATGTAGTGAAGTTGTTTCCAATAAAGTTTATTGGAAACTCAGACATATTTAAACTTTACTAAACATCATCTTGCAGTGGTACATTTACATTTACATGTTCTATACAGGTGGATATAATTAGCAGGGTGTATTTCTCTTCAGTGTTAGTCTGAGTGCATTACATTCAAAACTGGAAGTATTGTTATGTTAATTCCTGTAATTACTGACGCTAATTGGCACACTGCTCACAGTCTGTCCGCTCGTGTGTGTGTGTGTGTCTGTCTGTGTCTGAGTGTGTGAATCGTTGCCATGGTGCTCAACTATCAAGTGCAGATTGTTGTTTGAATTTAACAGCATCTTCTTCTGGCTGTCCAGTTCACTTTTGTTCATCAAGAGGACTGTAGAATGATATTAACATAGTGTTTATATCTCACAAGGGCACTTCATTTTCATTACAAAGTGTGCTGCAGTGCTTTTGAACATGTACAGAATAAAGAGTAATTTGACGTCATGACAGTACATGCATACATAATTCCATGCATTATACTTTAGGATAATCTTTTGCCACATTGATCACTTTTGTTTCTTTCTTCTTTTTCAACTGTTTGTAGGTGTTCGGTGTTCATCAGAACCAAGACTCCTCTGTTCTCTCAGACCTGGAAGGAGAAAGAAAAGGAAAGGAGACCAGAGAGACAGGGAAAGAGGTAGATAACTGTACTTTAACAGCTTATGTGTCCAGTTTATTCTTCTACTTCTTAAAATTCTTTAGTTTATTAAACTAAGATTCATGGCTGTGTTTTATCAACACTCACATGTCTTGACCACTACTCTTCTAGCCTGTTAATGGGAGTAGGCTAGTCTAACCAGTGACTGACCTAGATCATACTAAGATGAGGACAGACATGCTCAGCCCTCCAGGCAATTTCATAAGACTGAGGGGAGGGGACTGTGTACAAGCACTGAAGGCCTTTCTATCAAGTCTTTTATACCCTTTCTGTAAATGAAATGAGCAATGTGTTGCTGTTCATTGTCTCTAAATAAATCTTCTCTATCATCATGTATTACATTTCAGATGAACTCATAATTGTATATCTCCCCCTTTGTGGCACCACTAATTTACTTAACTTCTCTTTTATCTATTTTCTCACCCCTGTCTCCATCTCTCTTGTGACCCCACCCCTCACCTCCCTCTGTTGTGCCCACAGGCTCTTACTTGTGACTCAAGCTGGGTCTCTCAGTGGGCCAGTCTAGCTGCAAATCAAACCAGGACAGATCCAGAGGGATCGGGAGCGGAGACGGCAGCCTTTGTGCACAAAGAGCAAGGTACAACGTCACTTGACTATCAGAGTATGTGCAGGTTCTAAATTAAATGTTAATTGTAAGTTACATTTGAAATCACTTGTGCTTCTAAATTATATGAATCTTGCATCTCAGTTAGCTTAGTTTGTGTTTTTGTTCTTCAGGTGTGGATGCCTTTGAGTCCGGTGGATCACTCAGCAGAGGCGAATCCTCCTCCAGTTTGACCGACCGCAAGCGCAGGACCCTCCCTCAGCTCCCTGTGGATGACCCCCGAGCTAAAACCAGCACCAAAGCTCTGAGGTCTGAGATTGGGGAAAAACAGGACACTGAACCCCAGGAAAAAGAGAACAAGGGAGACGGGGAGTCCCCTACTCCCACGATGACAAGTAAACGTAAACAAAGCTCCACCTCCTCTCCATCCAAAGCTTCTCTTAGAAACTCTGGCAGCTCGGAGCGGAGAAAGAGGTCACAGGAGAGGAAAGAAGGAGGATCAGGAGAAGACAAGTCAGGGAAGCCTCTAGTACGCCAGGGCAGCTTCACTATTGAGAAGCCCAGCGCTAATGTCCCTGCAGAACTCATCCCACGCATCAACAGAGGCGGCAATGGGCGCGAGCGCAGTGACTCTGTGAGTAGCATGGATACTGCTACACTCCTCAAAGATACAGAAGCTGTCATGGCATTCCTGGAGGCCAAACTGAGAGATGAAAACAAACTAGACCAGAAGAGTAGTAAAAGTGGTATCAACAGTTCTGGCTTCCCCCCACGGACTGACTCCATCTCTCCAGAGTCAGATGTGGACACAGCCAGTACAGCTAGTCATGCAGCAGGAGAGGCAGACAGAAAAGCAGCAGCTGGTAGTGTACAAAAACGTCGTTCCTTCAGCAGCATGCACCGGGAGAAGAGCAACATGAGCACTGCTTCAAAGACCAGCGTCACCAATGCAAGTGCCCGTGAGCGCTTGGAGAGGAAGAGTAAACCAAGAACTGTGGAGGCGACAAGCCGGACTGATGCACGGCGTTCTGTTCAGCCATCTTCAGCTTCCTCCAGAGCCCGTCAACCTTCACTGGATCTCACTGATGATGATCAGAATTCTTCATTCCCCATCTCTGATATCCTCTCCTCAGACCAGGAGACCTACTCTGGGCCGCTGGGGCACTCAGCACATGGACGTGGCTTCGATGATGCCCTCCATTCCAAACATGATAGCAGGTCTGCCAAGAACTCCACCAGTGGTTCCTCCAAAACCAGCCGCACTCTCCAGGCAGCCACAACCTCCTCCATGAACAAGCAGGCCTCACTGCCACAGCCAAGGCCCACAAGAGCCTCCCTTCTTCGCCGTGCACGGCTGGGGGATACATCTGACACAGACCTGGCTGATGCAGACAGGGTGTCTGTGGCCTCTGAAGTGTCCACCACCAGTTCCACCTCTAAACCGCCATCTGGTCGCAAGGGGTTGTCTCGACTGGACATGCTGGCTCAGCCGCGCAGGACCCGCCTGGGCTCCATCTCAGCCCGCAGTGACTCTGAATGTACAATGACCCGCAGCTCCACCTCCTCACCACGCCTGTCGGCTGAGACTGCTCTGCGCCTGGGTCTGCGCTCATCAACGCCCACAGAGAACAGACTGACACCCAGGATGAGGGCTAACAGCGTGTCCAAACTGAATGAGACCAAACCTAAGACCACTACAGCTGGATACTGCTCGCCCACAGGTGAGCACTTAAACAACCTATTCAGATGTGTTTGAATTTTATATCAGGGGTTGGTTACCGTAGGTTTCAATCATTGTAAACCTCATTATTGTGTCAGCATGCAAACATTTGTCTCAAACATTTCACCTGTGTTGTGACGGTCTTGTGCATTGGTTTTCATCGTCCAGAGAGCTCTCAGCCTGAACCTGAGGGTGGTGATGCAGCGGAGGAGCTGATGGGTACTGTACCAGAACTGTAGAGCCTTGTTAGGACTGTTTATGTGTGTGTTTGTGTGTCAGACCTGGGTCACACTAATAGAAGCTGCCTCCAGTCTCATTAAAAGGAAAGCAGATTATTCATGTTAGCACAAATAGTTCTTAAAATCAAACTATGACTTGACTAGTTGAAAGGTGATGCAAACACTTTAGGAATCAATTTAGATAGCAAAGAATTTCCGCTTATGTTAAGTCCTTTGTTAAGAATAATACATACTTGAATTTTCTACATATTTCTCAATGACATTAGTTTAAAAAAAATATTTTTTCACATGTAAATTTAAAAATATAGCTTACCATACTAGTGCATTATAAAAGAAACGTTTCATTGAGTAAGTTGAAGTGCAATGACCCAGCTCTAGCATATGTTGCAGTGCTAACTTTGTCTCCCTCCTTAAATCCATCATGTAATGTGAAGACCCAAATGCTCTACTCACTCCTTTTCTAATAAAACATTTTCAAAAATCAAAATCCTTAAAGGTTTTGGTTTTGGAATAATCTTCGACCTTGTGTCAATTTTTATTTATGACACTTTAATCTAGTCCTGTTTACTCCTAAGAGACTGATAGAGCATGGTGTTGTCTTATCATGGATTTGAAGCAGATTAACACGTCCTGGCTCTTTTAAGGTTTTGTGTTGTTTGAAGCATTTGTTGGCTGCTTGGGGAGTTTTTAGATGAAGTCTCTGTTTGCCGCCGTTTCTATAGTTTTCAGTGTGGTTTTATAACACATGTCCATTAACAGTAACTAAACAAAAAAAGAGGAAATATGATGCTTTCACTCACTAATAATTTTTATTTATTGCTTGAATCTTTTTGAGTTTTGTCAGAATAAAGCAGTAATTGCTGGTGGATTCCTTTAGTTAACAAGCCTCTCATTCATTTACTTCACGAGTAATGAAATGGAATAAATCATGGCAATATTATCTGAACAATTGTCTTCTCCTGCCATTACCATCACAGTGTCCAGTAGCAGCAGATGGAGACGTCTGCCACCGGAGTATGGCTCCACCTCAGAGGAAGAGTTTGGTTCCAACCGGAACTCTCCGAAGCACGGAGGACGCTCCCACGTACGGCCTCATCATCTCGTCCCGCACCGCAGTTCAAGGCTCAGCACCACCGCGAGTCCAGGCGCTGGCGTGACGACGGGTCCGGGGATCAAACACCGCATGAAAGAGCAAGAGGAGTACATCAGGGACTGGACCGCACACAGCGAGGAGATAGCCAGGTATTGATCTGTGCTGATCTGAATTAGACTGATTATTAATTGATGTTGTAACTCTGAGAAAGAGCCGTCCTTGATGGTTGAACTTTTATCTTGATGTGTATGTTTGAGTATTGGTTTTGTATGCAAGTTTCAAGTGTTCAATAAGATGTCTGTGCTGAGTCCTAAAGAACCCTGTCTGATGGTTAACAGGTTATTCCCCTGTGTGCGTAGGATCAGCCAGGACCTGGCTAAGGACTTGGCCGTCTTGGCTCGTGAGATCCACGACGTGGCTGGCGAGATTGACTCGGTCAGCTCATCTGGCACGGCACCCAGCACCACCGTCAGCACCGCCGCCACCACCCCGGGATCAGCTATCGACACTCGGGAAGAGGTAGGCCCTGCACGTTCCACGCAGCCGGACATACAGGAGAGCATGAGAAAGGTGCCCGTTTACTTCTTCTATCATTTTCTTACTGTGTGTACTTCATTTATGATTTTGCCATCCCTTCTGTGTTGCTTGGACAAAACGGCCTCTCTGCTACTTAGTAGCTTGCATCTGCTGTGAGAGGTTTATTCATTAATCCCTTCTGCTAATCTTTAATTCATCTACCTGTTCATTCTTGTTTTAGGATTTAAATCAGATTTTATTTGGAGAAGGCAGGGTTGCTAATTCCTTCATTTCTCACAAATATTTCCTTAACTCTATTATAGAAAAACGTAATAACAGTGGATAGAAATTTCTGTAAGTTCCTTCTTCTTCGTTACTTGTTTGTAACTAGTTGGTGGATCGGGTGTTTGATGAGAGCCTCAACTTCAGGAAGATCCCGCCTGTAATTTCAACCAATAAGGCACCGGAGATCAACGGCAAGCCAGTGGAGCGCCGCCCCCATGCTCCTGACAGCGTGGAGCCCCGAGCTCTGAGGAGACGAACCTGGAACCGGGAGGAGGTGAGATGACATCAAAAATATTCAAACGTGCAGAGTTCACCAAAACACTGTGAGGTTTTCACACTATTTATTGTCCTATATGTTCAGGCGGTGTTGGACAGCTTGCTGCTCAATTCAGTTTCTCAACTGTCCAGTAAAATCAGAAACTCTGTCGACAAAACTGCAGGAAAAATCAGGTAAATGCACTTTATGAAATTCTGATCTGCATCGAGTGTGCCAGTGTGTTGATTCGTTCTGTGAATGAACACCTGTCCTGTTTGTTGCTCCTCTGTTTAGGATTTTGTTTAAGGATAAAGACAGGAACTGGGAAGAAATTGAAAACAAACTGCGATCGGAAAGTGACATACCACTCCTGAAAACCTCCAATAAGGTAATGAAGTCCGTCAGAACAATATATCATGACAAGTAAAGCCCAGTGATATTTGATGCTAATATTTTTCTTTTTTATTCACCTCACGTAGGAGATCTCCTCAATTCTGCTCGAACTGAAGAGAGTTGAAAAGCAGCTTCAAGGTAACATTGAATCTCCAAAAAGGTTTCAGTGCTAAAATCTGAATCTAAATCCAAAGTTTCTTTTTGCAGTAATTGTACAGGTACTGTTACACAAAGCCTTCACTTCATTGATTACCTGCCTCTCACTTTCTCAGTGATCAATGTCATGGTTGACCCAGATGGGACTCTGGATGCCCTGGCAAGCCTCGGCTTGACCAGCCCCACCACCCCTACCAAGCCCCTAACCGCCAAAACAACCTCCCCCTCCGCCACCAGCCCTGGGTCTGTGACCCCTGCCAAAGAATCACTGCCGGAGATCCTTCCCGGGCCGGGAGGATCAACAGCCTCCGCCAGGGTTCAGGCTTCATCTGCCAGCAAAGAGGAAACTGCACGAGAGTCCATTGTGGGTCTAGGGTTAACAGGAGTCGGAGGACTGCACTTCAACCGCATACGGCCTAGTGGAGAGGAGGCCATCGCACAGAAGTGAACATGAACTTTCCCTGAAATCAAGGTTATGTGAATAAACAATAAGGAGGCAGGTATAGAAGCATTTAACTTTTTTTTGCCAGAACAGTTGCCATTCTGCTGACTATACCACTCTAGTATAATGGATACAATACCAAGATCATTTTGCAGAAGTGTTCAGTGACGACACCAGAAAAGTGCTTCAACTTTCGAGTCGACTGGCTTAACCCAACATGATGCATCATGGATGTACCCTGAACAGAAACTGACCCACGACTGATTTGGATATTTGTCATATGAGCTTTTCAACCTTTTCATGCTTATTGGCCAACCTGACCTCAAGATGGACTTAACGCTACCTGAGGCTCGCTCAGTGGACAGATCTCTGTGGCTGTACAGTCTCCACTCTTCCTCCAGTCTTCTCCTCTTGCCTTCTCCATGTGTCAGGACCCTACCCAAACTAAGGGCATGCCTTAAAACACATCCTTGATAGTAGCAGTGTAACCCCTTGTCCCATCAAATAATATACCAGACAACTTTTAAGATTTTAATACCCTAATTTCAGACAAACAGAATGCATTGTAACATAACACTCACAAAGATGTTTTATTTACACTATGATGAAATGCAACACTGCAATAATTTATTAGCTCTTATTCAGTACAAAGAATATTTCAGCAGCCTTAAGTAACCACCCTGATAAAGTACACAGTCATAAACAGTCCTGAAACAGTAATGACATTTAGCAGAGTTACAGAAGTTTTATACATTTCACAACTAACTGTCCGTCCATTAGACCAACATCAACCAGGACTTGTAGTGCCTCCTTCACCAGTTGTCTTTTACTCTCTCCTTCCCTTTCTTTCCCTCCCAGTAGTTGGTAAAATGTTTGTCTCTTTAGTAGCATGTACTGGACAGAGATCAAAAGTCTGTGTTGATCTCATTGAAACTGAATAGTAACAGCCTTTGGGAAACCAATGATCATTTTCAGCCTAAATTATCACTTACCAAAGTTCACCATTTTCTTGATACTGTCAATTTCAGACGGTAGAGCCATCTTGAAATTCATCTGTTGTGCAAAAGCTGACTGTTCAGCTCATATTGTTCATTTGAGATGGAAGTTTCCTTCCTCTGCCGTTCACCTCTTTTCTCTGAATGTCAGTCAACAAATCATGGATTCACATATTGGACCACTAGTTTAGTCACTGCTGAGATATCTGTGACACAGCAGAATCAGTGCTCTTAGCCTTTTGCTGTACAAAGCCCAATGTCCTATGATTTCCAATTGGCCTTGTTTGTACTTTTTTGATCACGTTTTCTTAAACTCACACTGTCCCATCCTGCTACCAAGTTCTGTGGAAAACTTTTTAACAAACAAACAAACAAATGAAGGAGTAAAAATATTTCCTCTTTGGCAGAGGTAGCAAACTCCCCATTGTTTCTATGAATCTGGCTCCTAATACAGCTTCAGGTCGGTGTATTTACAGAAGGTGCTTTGATCTATTTCAACCAGTGGGTGAAGTTAGAATTACAAACAGTAAAGTGAAACTCTTTCTCATCAACTCTTTTCTTATTTCCATGGGGACTCTTCATCTTCTGAATCTCTCTCTAGCTTATCGTCTGTGTCCTAGAGCAAGATGACTTAAAGGCAGTGTATTAGTACTTAGATTTTCTCACAAATTAGGTGCCAGAGTGTAAGTTCATTTCCTTCTCTGTGTACTGTACTTTACAATGTATTTCAATGCCTCAAAGTGCCCATTTCGACTATAGAAGGGCATTGATGAAAAGATCGAAACAGATGTAGCTGTCTAAAAAATCTTATTTTGCACATCAGATTGTTTGTTTTTGGGTTTTTTTCAAACAAAAATAGTGAAGAAATGGTGAGAGGCTGCATCTCCTGTCACATGGTTGGACAAAGAATATCAGAAGTGACTGCCTTTCCTCTCTGGAACTATTCTATCTGTACAAAGCCTCTAATTGTGTTACTTGTCTGTTTTGTTTTTTCTCCCCCCATTTTATCAAAAAAAGAAAAAAATAAGAAACAAAAAGTGTAATTAGGGGACTGTGAATGCTAGGTACATGTTTATTTGTTAAATTCTACGTGTCATATGATCTGTGTCATTTTTTTTTTCTTGTCATTTTTGTAAAGAAAAGACACCATTTTATTTATTTATTTTTGTTTTAATATTTTGTGGATGTTTCATGTGTTTTATATTTGTTCAACTATCTGCATTGTTTCTTACTGTTAATAAAACAGAGCCATTCACTTGTTTCTGTTTTCATTTGACTGGACCCTGAACATTTCAATTCAAAGTCACTTAATTTCAGTCACACAGTGTATCGTGGGAAAGAAACACCTACGTTGATGCAGAAATCCAAACAGACATTTAGTGAATGTGCAGTAAAAAGATAGTTCCTCTTCCTCCTTAACATAAACCTCAAGCACCTCAGTCTTAAATTCCCATTGGATGCATCCTTGAAGATAAAACTACAGTACGTACCTGTGCACAGGCGATAAAAGCCCAACTGACTGATTTCTTTTATCCAAAAACTGGATTTCATAATGACTCTTGACATTTTGATCAAAGAATAGACAACTATAAGTTCTCTTCGTGGTTTTAAAGGATGCATTCTGTAATTGTGCGATCTGAATAATTTTAGAGCAAGAAAACACGACTCTCTGTTGTTGTGAAGTGCATTTTATTACTATGAGTGATTTCCCAGGTTTCCCTTTGACATGTTTCACGTGACGACTTGTTTTAGTCTAAATTGAATAGTGCTTGTTTCCAGGCTAACAGATGTGCACACTGACGGCAGGATGGTCTGTGTCGGGTGACGGAGGTTATCCAGGGGGCCACTGCATCGTGCGTCCACCCAGGACGTGGATATGGATGTGGTAGACGGACTGGCCTCCATCTCGCCCGTCATTGATGACGATTCTGTAGCCGTTGGACAGACCCGCATCATGAGCACACTTTTTGGCAACCATCATCAAGTGGCCCAACAACTAAGAGACAGAGAGAGGATTTATGAATGACGCTGCGGTGAAAAAGCACACAGGCCTGAATATACATGAAGGACTGTGGACGCTCAGACAAGTTGGCTGTAAAGGACGCCATCTAGTGGCCACTGATAGAAAGTTGTCAGACAAAACAAAAAGTAAAAGTGATCATACTCACTGCAGCATCAGTGTCCTCTGCTTGAGACAGCTGAACAATTGGCTTTTTAGGGACGACGAGGATGTGAGTGGGAGCTTGAGGAGCAATATCAGGGAAGGCCACACACTGAAATACAGAAGAACAAATTCAGAGGAAGAATTTAGCCTCTGCAGATAAATGAGACAATCCACTCCTACGCTCTCTCCCCAGGAAGCTCAATACCCAACCACACCCCAACACCGGTGACTCATAGAAAAGACTCTGGGACACCAACGACCCAATGAGGCCTTTTAGTTGAGAGATCTTCAAGAAACACAAGCAAGTCCACATGTCGATGTGCACTTGTACAGCACCTGAAGATACCCTGATGATGGTTTACAACGTGTTATATATAAAACAGATAGACGGATGCACAAAACACAACATCAGCGCTAAAAACCAGAGTGTAGTAACCATAGTAACCACTACACATCATGACTAGGATATTTACACTGCAGATATCGCGTCACCATGTTGTCAACAATCTAACTGGACCAGTATTTCTGGATTCTATGATCTGCGCAGCTGCTTCACACGCGCACAACCTTCCTAAGTGATTCCACTTACTAATGCATGGACACAGCAACCAACACTGTATGAATATGACCTGGTTATGACACTGTCTGTCCTCGTCTCTGTGCGTGACACTTTAAATATGTCAAACATGTAGAGCTTCCTCGGGTCCCTTGACAGATATACACATTGTTTGTATTATTAAGTCTAAATAGGAAACTGGTGGCTTCACATTTAAAGTTTAAATTCCTTGGTAATAAAAACCTGATTGGTTCTGATGAATGGTTTAGCGGGAGGAGGCAGACAGACGTGGCCATGTGTGACATGTGGAGATCCAGCTGTGTGCAGATGTTAGGAGCTGCAGAGGAAACACGCGTCACATGCGATGCTCCTCTGCATCAAATCAGCACGGAAACTTTTTTCTGCACAGCACACTTCTATATATAATCGCAGAGCTAACGCCAGCTAGCTTAACTGCACATTCCCGCTGCCACGTGAGACTCTTTCCACGCAAACCTCCTCTCGGTGTGAAAATCGAACGCCTACCTGCTCGTCCTCATAGATGAGCTGCACGGGAATCTCCTTGCGTATGATTTTACCGAATATCGTGTCTCCGCCCGGCTGAGCGCTCTGCGCTTTTGCTGTCTCGTCCGCCATGTTGGCGCAGATGAAAGCAGAACTACGCCGCACGTGCTTTGACTACAAAAATGCGTCATTTTTAAAAGTCCGCCCTGATTGGTCGACACAAATATACTTCCTGGACACCGGAAGTGAGTTTGAAGTCAAGATGGGGACTCGCGTGAAGGTGAGGAACCGTGTTTTTACAGAAAACAACATGTTGAGCACAATGTTCCCTGTCGCTCCCTCAGCGGGGTTCACCACAGACACGTCGGTGTGCTTGTTTTTGTAAATCTACAGCTGGAAGGTTAAGAGAGGACGCATGTGCAAAGCAAACAATGACAAACCCTCAGACTGACTTGATAATGTAAAGCTTCAGTGGAACAGATGAGTTCAGATGAAGGTGGCAAAAAGGAAAATGTTTGTTGAAAATGTAAAGAACAGTTAGTTTGTTCATGGAGAAGCAGGAGACACTAGAATCCAGGGAACACAGCAAGACACTGTACTTTTTTACGCAGACACAGAATATGTTTTTCTTCACAGTCAAGTATTAAATGTTGAGCGAAGGGAATGTGATCGTGAATATAAGAGCAATTCAGCTAAAATCTGATTATTGCAAGTTTGTAACACCTCTGAAAACAAATAGTAACTCCACCAACCTGTCCACCTTCAAAACATGTCTAGTTATCTGCTGCTATATGAGTTGAAGTTTTATTGTAAGGGGTTTGTTTCAACATCGTAGGTGATGAACTCAATGGAGACTATGACTTTTGTTTTTCCTCCATTTTCTTTAATTTAATTCTTATTAAAATAAATGCAGGTCCTGAGCGTGTTTAAAGCGCTGCACAGAACAAGAATGACTGTATTCAAAGACGACAGCAGAGCACTGACAGGTGAGCTGTGTGTGGTTTTTAAGTTTACATTGGATAACTCAGTGCAGGGTCTGCAGTTTAAAAATTCATAACTGTGTTTTCTTCCGTAAGCTGCAAGATTAAAGATCAATGAGGAGTTCCAGAAAAACAAAGATGAAACATCAGAAGAAAACATTGCAAAGGTACAGTTTCCATTTCTACAGTGAGGACTTCTGCAAGCAAATAGAAATATTAACAAACTGAATTCTAACACACCTTTAAACCAATAACAGAACTTTGGATTCATGGGTAAACGATAAACAGCGGAGCCACTGCTATGTTTTTATGTGGGAAATTTTACATGTTTGTGCAGGGGGCCCAGTTGTCCCCTTATCCTCCTGAAAATCTCTTCTGCTTTTACAGATGATCAAAATGGGCTCAGATGTGGAAGCGGTTCTTCGACAGACCGTTTTACAAATGGAACATGTCGCAGATAACACACTATGTATGATGTCGTTCCACTCCTCCCCTGCCCTTTTTAAAGATAGAATGTAGCATGTGTTGTGCAAAGAATAAATCATAAATCTCTCTTACCTGTCAAATTGTAATGAATTTTAAATGATATGTACTTGCTGAGTCTTTTCTCTCCCTCTTGTCTCTCACAGTGCTCGTACCCAGAGAGAGCCTTCTACTAGAAAATGTTCCCTATTGTGACCAGCCCAGGAAAAAGACATGACATATTAAATCTTTCTCACCCAAAAAAAGAGACTCACTGTCATCCATCTGCAGTTTAAAGTATTTAACCCAAACATTTGAAGATCATCTCTACAATGCCGGTTTTTGATTCACTGCTGGTGTCGGCTGTTCTACTGTAAGAAATCACTGCTACAAACTGGATAATGTAGTTTCATGTATAGTGTTGTGTCAAATATTATTTAAATGTTTTCATTTCATTTGGAATTGTTCTGCTTGACCTTTAGCAGCTCGTGGTCACCCTGAAGTCGGTGGAAATGCTGCTTTGCTGCTACTGAAAAATAAATGTATGACTGCGAACTTATTAAAGACGAGGATCCCCAGTCTGACTCTGAGTTGACTTATATTTCCAACTAATAGATTAGATTAGAATAGAAATACTTTATTCATCCCACAATGGGGAAATTTACTTGTTACAGCAGCAGAGAGAAAGTGTAGTATACACTACAGAAATTAAAATGGAAAAGGCAATAACACAAAACAACAGACACAAATTTCTGTAACCTACACAGTAAAAAAGAAAACAATCGACCTGCAACAGACAATGTGCAAAAGGGTACTGAGGATAAAAAGAGTGGCATGATATAAAAAGTATTGTAATGTAAAGTGTATAAGTAATATTGTCAAAGTAAGTGACCATGATATAAATAATATTGCAAAAAGTAATAACAATTATAAATCAATCTAACACAATTGAATCTCAGTGCAAAGACCACAACAGCAATAGCTCCAAATTATTTTTTACTTCTCATACCACCCAGACTAAAAATATCCTGATATCTTTTTTTAAGATATGATATTTTAAATAAATCAATGGAGCGAAGTAAAAGTAGATTTTTTTAACTTCCAATGTCTAAAATCCTTGTTTTGTCAAGACAAGGCGATCATCTCAACGAATGCACTACATTTCCCACAATGCCTGTGAAGTAAGAACATTTATTATGTCATCAAAATGCGCCGTTACTGGGGCAACGCTGTTGGCGGCTCAACCTTGATGTCGCCGTTTGGCTCGTTTGTCAACGTTTGAGAGTAAAATATCGAGTTCGATGCCAAAAATAAGGTAAAAAACAACTTGACACGGCCGCTGACATACTGTTTCATGACTTTCTCTCAGAAATTGTGAGACTTGTGGTGTTTTTCGAACCGACGCTTCAGTTTCCTCCTGTTTGTCAGCTCCGACACGCTGTGGGAGCTGGCTGCGGCCGAGGTCCGCCACCGGGAGAGCGGAGGCGGCGAGGAGGACGAAGGAGAGACGGTGAGCGAGAGGAGCGTGTTTCTGATGGGGAGCAAGTCTGGGGTGAGTCCACCATGTTCCCGGACAGCACACAGCTGTGCCCTCTTTGTTTTTAACTACCTCAGTTATCGGTAGTAAACTCACGTGTGCTTTGTTTCAGGGTAAAACGTCCATTCTCCTCAGGTGTCTGGACAGGTGAGTACATGTGGTGAAGATAACAACCTTCATCTGAAATTCAGGAAATCTACCTTCACTTTAAAACCTCCAGGAAGACGTGTGTCAGAGAGACAGTTCACCCAAAACAGAATGAAACATTAGCCTCTATCTCTGCTTAGTAGCTCTCAAAACTTCAGCCACGTCTGACTGTCGTCTTCAGAGAATGGAGATGAGGCCATGACACAGACGGGCATCTGAGCCATTGTTTAAAAACACAGTGTGATCAGATGGAAAGCAACAACGTTTTGAAAGAGGTGGGGTTTTTTGTGGATAGATTGAGTTGTTGGCTAACAATGCATGTTTTAATCACCAGGGACGAACCATCCAAGCCCACTCTGGCACTGGAATACACCTTCGGCAGGCGGGCTCGAGGACACAGCACAGTAAGCAGGTGTAGTCAGTTCTTACAGGATTGGATTAGACTCTTAAAACTGGATAAATACACATAACTGATGATAAGTGTTTGTGTGTCAACTCTTATACAGAGCTACAAAAGACAACAAACTATTTTATTGCAACTTCCAGTTCTCAAACACACTTACCACAATGCACCAGGCTCACTGTCCGCTTATGTGTCACGAGGGATGATTTGCTATATACTCATTTGGTTTTCCATCAGTAAATACCCCATTCCTTCAATGCTGCAAAAATGTAGCATGTGTACAGTTGACCATGAATTGAGATGAGGTGGGTTGATAGAAATCACAGCATGGTGGTTTCCTCCTTCAGCCCAAAGACATAGCTCACCTGTGGGAGCTGGGAGGAGGGACCTCTTTGTCAGACCTGGTCCAGATCCCCATCACTCCTGCCAGTATCAGGTATGTCAGTCACACACATTTCTGAAATCACATTGTTTATATATATTGTAGATGTCAGACCAGACATGTTCTGAATGTGAATATTATTGTTTTTTATAGCATAGTTTCTGAACAGCAATGTCCTGCCAGTAAAAAAAAGAACAACCATTTTTTTATCCAGGTCTTTCTCTGTCATTCTCATTCTGGACCTGTCTAAACCCAACTCCCTGTGGGGAACCATGGAGAAGCTGCTGCAGGCAGCCCAAGCTCAGCTGGAGAAAGTCTATTCACAGGCACAACAAGCAGAGAAAGCCAAAGCTGGAGCCAAACACCAGTCGTCCGTCCACTCAGCAACACGTGTCTTACCTAAAGACTATCCTGTAAGACCTCAACTCATTACACTTTCCATTTTTCAACATGATACCTGTTATGTCTTTGAATTATGACCTTTATCTGGACTCCAGCTGCTTCTAGTCTATAAATAAGATGTATCCTGTATTCACTGTTAACTCTGTTGCCAGGACAGAGAGCTGATCAGTCCCTTCCCTGTTCCACTGCTCATCATTGGCAGCAAGTATGACATCTTTCAGGTAAGACAGTTCAAACCTGATAACTTCTTTCACAGTATCACTTTACATTGTGTTGAAATAACATGAATTAACACAGGTGAAAGCTTTTCCAGGCACAGAAGTTGTTCTTGGTAGTTTAAAGTTACAGTTAGACAGGAGTAAACTGAAACTGCTGCCTGTTGTTACATCATTTGTGTAAAACAGTCACAGGGAGATTTCTTTTCATATGTGTTGCAGGACTTTGACTCTGACAAGAGGAAAGTGGTCAGTAAGACACTCCGTTTTGTTGCCCATTACTACGCTGCCTCTCTAATTGTGAGTTTAACAATGTTATGTCTTGCAGTTGAATCTATCCATTCAAACAACTGTTGCTCCACTTTGTACTTTTCTTTCTGTTCATGTGCCAATCATTTTTCAACAGTTCACCAGCATCAAGTTGGAGAGCCTCATGTCTAAAACCAAGAGCTTCTTCTCCCACCTGGCTTTCGGTGTGGACAGAGGGTAAGGACTCAGCATTGGGTACAAACTGGTAGTGAATATTAAGAAGTGCATCTGGTTTTCATTAGTTTTTCTAAACATGTTACTTGATGCTGTCACTAAGACTTGGTGGACTTCCCAATTGCATTTATACTTAAGCAGGGTTATGATCAATTATACAGCATACAATAGTATTTATCAGGCATTTTGGGTAATCAATGTATGAACCATTTTAAAGAGACCACTCCCAATGGAGTGTACAGTTTATACAATAGATCACTGCACACCTAAATAAACATTTCAAACAAATTGAATTGAATATGTTTCTGCACGTTATCTAGTTTTTTATTTCAGTTCTTCTTCTTTCTATCAGGAAAACTGTGTGTTCTGACTCCACCAAGCCTCTCATCATTCCAGCAGGTTCTGACTCCTTCAGTCAAATAGGTGAGCCCAGCCCCATCCAGTGGTAAAAAAGCAGTAATGCATTTAGATGTAATAAAACGCTGTATTGACAGAAATACACCTTCCTTGACATTTGTTGACCTGACCAGGGCTGAATTATTGTTTGTAAAATAGTCCTCCTGTTATTTCAGGCAGTCCTGCTGCTACTGATGTGGACATAACTTCTCTGCATGCCAAAAACCCAAAGGATCTCTGGAAGAAGGTCTACGAGCGTGTTTTCCCTCAAGAGGTAGCTCAGTCACTGGTGACACCTCTGTCTTCCAAAATACAACTGAAGAACATTAACACCCTCATACACAACAGCCGTATTCACACACACACACACACACACACACTGACTGTGTGTACGTAAAACTCAGTATTTTTTCTCATACATATGCTTGTTTACATGAACAATGGGCGTCTTTACACAGTTTTAAATATATGTCCATCTAACCTTCCCATCAGAGTACCAGTGAACAGAGGGAACTGAAGGATCCAGCCAAAGACCCACAGTACAGCGTTCCTCAGATTGATGCCATGAGAGCCCAGAAAGACCAGGTACAACATCTGCACCAATTTGTTCATGAAATATTCCTGTTTACTCATCTGTGGTGACCTTGACCTTTGACCTACTAAGTAGTAATTATATTAATTATACAGAAATGAAAAGACACTAATGGAAGGAATGAAAAAGAGTTACATCTCTAACATGGGGCCACATTTTCTAGCTGATTAAGTGGTTAGATTTAATATAAGTGGGGACAGTGACATTTCAGCCATAAAACAAGGAGCCTATAATTATTATATTTGTTATCCTGTATTTATATATTTGTACTGTAATATTTTGTCACTGCTGTTTGCTGTGTTAGTAAGGTTTTCCACTGTTTTAAACTGTCTCCGCAGCACAAATAAGGCCAATGTTCTAAAGTAACCTTCTGTCCGACAGTAGTCTGTATGTAGTAGTGTTCCTGCAGCGGCATCATTACCAGGCTGTGATAAAGTCAGAGATTAGATGTCATCTCGTTGGCCTGCACTGGTTGCCACTCTGGCACTTGAACTACAGTAACCTGTTCAAGTAATAAACTCCGAACGTACAACGTTATCAGTGACTGACTGTGGCCTGACTCTGGCTCCTCTTGCTCTTCCATTGGATGTTGCATCCGATGAATAATCCGAAGATCCAGTCAGAGAAATGAAGTAAAGGTTGATTCCGACTCAATGGAAAGAGTGAAGTCATTTAAACAGATATGTTTGTCAGGACAGATTGTGAACAGATATCTTTTATACAAACTAATTAACTTGTGTACCTTTTATAGTTTGGCCTCAGTTTGTGTTGTATTGCAAAGACACGTCTCCTTATGTGGGAGGCAAAGAAGTTTTCAGAGAGGTAGGTTTTCATGGTTTCAGTGAAAATTGTGAGGGATTATACACCTATTACCTTAATTTATCATTATATTACATTTTATACCAACAGGGCTGGACGACATGGCCAAAAATGATATCAAGATAAAATTTATATAAATCACGACAAATGTCGCATTATCATTTCTTTCAAGACTGATTTGTGCTCCTGAGTGAGGGTTGTAGTTTTAAACTCTTCTTTTAGAGTTAAGAGTTTTAAACACTTTATAAACAACAATACATTTGACAAAATATGAAGATCATACCTCTTCGTCCTAGTTATACCTCCTTAAGCAATCTCTCTCTCTCTCTCTCTCTCTCTAT